TTGCAGATAAGGATAATGAGGAAGGGAAATTGTGAAGATGCAGTTGAAAGATTCCCAACAAATGGCATAAAATACGAAACCAAAAACCTAAATAATTTTCGTGAAAGTTTGAGTAATGCGGAACTTCAAAGGGAGGTCAAACGACTCCGAGAATTGATAGCAAAGGTAAATAAGATAATGACCTCTGGTTTCTATTACAAACTTGAGATAACTGATCATGGTGAAAACTACTCAAAATGGCCGAGAACTATTTTTTGGAGTTCCTGTATATGTACAGGAGAAACTGAAGGATGGAACACCACTAAGATTTCAGATTTTTCAGTTTGTGCGTTTCTAATTTGGTTCTATTTCTAGAGTAAATTACTGCGATCTGGTTTAGGAAACTTGAAATAAGAGAGGTCGAACCATTTCTCGATAAAAGTGGATGTTGTTAAATGTCTTGGGAGCAATGTCAGATACCATACTATAATGGCCTGCTCCCAGTTGATGGCCTGCTCCCAGTTGGCTTGTTAGCTCAATTGGTAGAGCGCTGCACTAGTATCGCAGAGGTCAGTGGTTCGAATCCCGTACAGGCCTGAAATTTTTTTCAGGTCTGATTTTCACTATTGCTCAAATAGTGCTTTACTGCGAAGGATCGTTCTCATATACGTCTCATAACCGCAGTTCACACATATGTTTCATATGTTTGTTGTTGTTTGATTTATCATCTACGGGTTTATATCGAATTAATTTGATGGCCTGCTCCCAGTTGGCTTGTTAGCTCAATTGGTAGAGCGCTGCACTAGTATCGCAGAGGTCAGTGGTTCGAATCCCGTACAGGCCTGAAATTTTTTTCAGGTCTGATTTTCACTATTGCTCAAATAGTGCTTTACTGCGAAGGATCGTTCTCATATACATTGAATTTATTCTTGGCTGCCTGACTTCAACTCCTTGGCGTCGCCCTCTATTTAACAAACCGAGTAAAAGTACAGACCACGCTACACAATGTCGAAGTGAAATAAAACGATTCTTTCAGTGCGTGACATGTTACGTGACACGTTTACGCGAGCAGTGTTGTCTCTACTCTTATCGACAACAGCAAATTGGCCAATCAGATTGTGACATTAATGCCAATTGTGGCAAAGATATATATAGCCAACTGGTCGTCCTCCTGCCAGTTAGAATTCTTTTAAACACTATTACAATATTTGTTTACAGCATTCGTTTTTGGTTTGTTTGTAATGGCTCTGAAAAGCCCAATTGAGGGAGTGGCCAATTGATGTTAGTATAATCATTATCGCTAATATTAGTGTTAAAGGACTACTTTCGTTTGCGAGATGGCGCTAGCTCGTTGGCGTCGCGACTTGAATCGATCGTCAAGACGCATAAAGGAATGTTTACCTTGTTCAGTTTCTGTTGTCTGAGTTTTCTTTTTCTTCCTTTAAGGAGTAGATTTTATTTTACGACTTTTATTTTTTCGAATCAGTCAACCTTCCACTATGACTCGGCATTCTGGAGAAACACTGCTGGCTTCAACCTTCTCGGGGGAAAGACTGGATTTGATCATGCCGAGACCAAGTTACCAACTTACTGAAGCACACCCTTCTCCAAGATCTGTCTCGGCATGAAGATCGACAAGCAGTTGAATTTCACTCTCGTCGAATTTCAAACATACTCCAGTTCACTGCACTCACTGATCGCCGCTAATGGAGGTACCGGCACATCTCTTGGAGCAGAAAAATGGAAAAACCTGGCGGGTTCTTACTCGTTACCTGTCAGTAACGTCCAGGAGGGGTTTAATTTGCGAAGGAGTAAAAGTTCCTTTGTAACCTTTGGCAAAATTACGGTTCCCACTGAAGAGCTTACTTATCGTGCAAGAATTGGCTTCATCGGCACTTTTCACCAGTATTTCTTAAAAATTGGCTTTGGGACTGGACTTCCATCTCCAAGTAAAGACCTTAGCACGTGTGGAATCGAAACAGGAGGAGGTGAAGGAGTAGATAGAAAAAGTATGAAGGCTTTCGGATACATTCTAGTGCAGTGACAAGGGAACTAACCTGAGTCTAGGAGATGAAAAACAAACAATATTTGCTTACAGGAGTTGATCCAAAGCGTGAGTCGATTTACGCAGGCACAGTTACACTGTGGATCGTTGGGGCAGTCATGAAAGTGCCAGTGCATTAAACACCAATGAATCCAAAGCTATGTGTCTGTGCAGTAAGTCAGGGAATGAATTTGTTTTAGCGTTGCTTAGTCCACATGATAATCAATCATCATTGAATTTCCGATTTTGGCGATATGAGATTAAAAGTGATTAAAATTTTCTTCACAGTTTTGATCACATTGTTTCGAAACTGCATTTAATCGACAATAGTAGTAGCTATTACCATAGTGCCTTCATAGGGTGCGAATCTAGGAAGTTTTGATGGGGGAAGGGATTCCTAATTTAGATTCGGAATTCAAGGAAAATGTATCAGACTTTTCATTATGAAGTACGGCGATCATTTCGTTGCAGAACTCTTGGTGTCAGACAAGACGTAAAGTATTTTAAATTAGTCTTAAGGCGTACAAACTGACAATTTTTAGCCGTGAGTCGTAAAAATATGGTTAACTGTAAGAGTTTTTATTTTAATTATATCGGCCGGAAAGAAACTAGTCATTAGCCGTAAAACAACCAAAATTTTAACCGTTAGGCGTAAAATTAAAGCTATAATCTCATTGAAACCCCCCAGAATCAGCTACTGATACGCAACTTTCAACTGCAGTTTATTTCAGGAAAGAACTAGGTTTTTTCAGAGCCTGTATTATAGCTCTATGGAAGTGTTATTCAGGATCATAGGCGGTTGCATACAGCGATGTCATTTGTTCGTTTTTCTTTCAATTGAATGCTGTTGTTATCACGAGGGGGCAGTGAGGACGAAAAGTAAGCATAAACGCAGAAATGCAAGTGACCAATAGGAACTCTTGGTTTCAAATTTGCATTGTGATTGGTTGAAATGAGAACGAATGTGTTTTAAGAGCGCATGAGGGCAAATCCATTGCAACTCCGGAGGACTTTCGAGACTTAACTGCAAATTCTTCTGGAAACAGAGCACTAGGGTAGATACATTAAGCCAGAAAATTTGAGCATTATGCATATGAGTGTCCCCCTCAAAACAACAGCATTATGCTTAAAATTATGCTCGAGAATTAGCATTACGCTCAACTGATCTTGGTTATATTTGATGTTCTTTTCCATCCCTACAGACCCCCAAAAAACCTTCTTGATTAGGAAACACAATATTTTATTGCATACAATAAATAGACCTAAAAGCACTCAAAATGTCTTATCGCAATGGACCTCCCCATCGTTGGGTAACCATAACGATGGGCAGCCGTAACAACTATCAGCGTCAAAATACAACGGTGTAACCAGGCCTTGAAAATAGCAGCCAAGCCTTTGAATATATCACATCTTTACTGAGAGCACCCACACGTGAAAATTTCTCTTTACGGTTAAGGAAACATTATTCTCTTTATGCTAAAAAAATGCACATTATGCCGGCATTGCGCTCCGACAATTGCATTATGCCCAAAACTATGCCGGCATAATGTATCTAACCCTGACTCTAGAACTCCACTGGTCTGACTTTCATCTCAGCCCTCTTCGCAGAGTAGTGGTAACCTTTCCATCGAAACCAGTTGACTCCATCAGCATACAATGCGTGCCGCCCATGATGATAGAAACCGTTGAGGTTTGAGCTATCACAGGCTATGTACCACCAGGCTCCTTTAAATTCCTTAGCACAGTTACCGTCATAGCCGTCATTGACCTGATCCTTAGTCGTAAAGGGATAGCCACGATGATGAGTAAGAGAGTCGCCAGCAGTTCCTGTAATAAAGTAAAAATTTGAAATTAGTTGTTGAGAAATATTCAGAGAGACTCTAATTCGACCATACCGTCAAGAGGAAAAGACACAAATTCCCGTTACCATCAGTTGAGAGTACTTCGTTACAGTTGTGGAAAGTAAATAATAAATCCGAATCATCACAGTCAATGTCGATGAAGTTCGCCACAATGCATTCGCAGCATTTGAATTTGCACCAATTTCCACTTCTGAGTCTTTCTAAGAATTCATTTTATTTTCCTCAAAAAATTTACCTGAATATGTCTCAACTCTCAACTGGTACTTCTTTCTTGCGTTCGCCACTGCAAACATGCCGTACTCAGGCTAAGCAGTGTTGCTGTCAAAATCTTCTAGATCGACCCGAAGCTTGCTCGGGGACTTTGTCAGGCAGAATATTTAGTCCAGTCCGAGCCAAAATTCGTCTTCAAGGTTACCGAAGCCCTTCTTGTAGTCAGACCAGTTGCGGTGGAAATCAACGGTGCCATCTAGCCTCTTTTGGAGCACTGTCCATCCCCCACCGGCAGTTTTTTGGTCACAAAACACTTTAAAGTCAGATCCGGTACCATCTGGGTTAATTTTATAAACACCACTGATCGATTGTTTTACCAGATTTGCACAGCGCGGCACAGTTCTCATGTAGTGATAGAAAATAAATAATAATATGAAAAATAATTTGAAAAATGTAATGATGATAATATAATAATGAACACCAAAAGCACATTTAACCTATTTCCCTTGGGTCCTATGAACCTTTTGGATATGGTTTCATTAACAAATTTATGGGGATAGAACGGGATAGGCATTATCAGCTAAAATGAAGGGACCTATTTCACATTCACAGACGGCTGCCTTATAGGATGTCCCCCTCTCCAGCTCTTTGAAGGATGATACTGCAAGTCCACATGCAAAGTCTATAAAAATCTTATTGCCATCAAACTTAGCTTGGATTACGAAGTCTTTTTAATTGATTATACCGCCTGAAATAATTCGGTGCATTGTCGTTAGGTGCATTTATCATGAAGTGTGAACCGTCGATAGGACCAACAACGTTTAGTAGATTGGTAAGGTCAGCAAAAATTGCAATCGATGAAATTACCTCATTTTCCTGGAAGCGAATCCCCTGAGCTATGAATTAATAGAAAAGGTCCATTCCCAGCCTTTCATTAATCATCAACCGAGTTCAGTGGCTCACAGCCTTTTGGATTTCCTTTTAGACTTTCTTTTTTTCTATGTCAAAATGATCCACCGGGGATACAAAAACGCCTAGCTTAGTTTTGAGCATAAAACTACTAATATTTTTTCAAAGCCGTTAGCGAGGGTAATCCTGTTCTAGTTGATAGCGCCGGGAAGTATGTGATTTGTATCACCCCAGCCCCTCCCTCTTCCTTTTGATCGTCGCTCACCCATTTGGTACAAGTTTATCTTTCTTCTTAACATAACGTTAATGCTTTAAAAATAAAAATGGTCAGTAAAATACTAATTACGCCTGCTCTGAGTCAAAATGCAAGCACAACAGTAGAAGAAGGGAGTTGTTGTATGACGAACATCTTTCAAATGTTAAACATCAGAGTTTATGATTAATAAAATATATGTTTGGGCCCCGTCTTAGAGCTATTTTAGTCCGAGCTGCTAGGCGGGGGTTAAAGTGATTCTTAAACTCGTCCGTCCGTAGTAGTTGGAAAATCTATCGTCTACATCGTGCGTGGAACCCAGTTTTGGTAAGCTTCTAGCTTCGTTCTACTAGGCTTCCACACCACAGTATTTATAGGTGTCCCTAAATTTTAATTTTGTCTATTTTAAGTATGGATTGTTGTGAAATGATATTAGTATAGTTTAGATTGTAGTAAACAACGTTATTTTTTTATTTGGCGTAAGTGGCAAATAAATAAATAAAAAAATGAAATAAATGAATTCTTAAAAGGGGTAAAAATACATCTAATTTAGATTTATAAGGGCATATCAACTATTCATTATCTCTCTGGAGGGCAATAAGATGGTACGGTACAAGCTTAAAAGAAAAGACAGCAATATAAGCAATCATTGAGAACTTTCCAATGGGGTGACATACATTTTAGCCCATGCACCAAAATCTCTATTTTAGCCCATGCACCAAAATCTCTATTTTAGCCCACAACATGAGTCACAATGCCCATCAAGGTAACAAAAATACGTCTTTAACCATGTAATGGTACCGGTGTCGCGAAGCCATTTTCAATTTGCCAGCGTCATCAGGCTTTGCAGATTTGGAGACTGCTCCACATAAGGTACTTGATCATAAGGTTAAAAACGAGAAACTTAATATGAGTGTCAACTCTAACAGCATTGCAAACCACCAGTTATGGCGACTGACTCAATTACTTATACTAATTCTATATAATGGTAATCAAACTGAGTAAAGTGCGATTTGCTCAGGTAATCAAATGATTTCTAGCCAATTTGGGATAATGCAGTACGACGTAATTAATTTTTCAAAGGCTAACCAAATTGTATCGTAGTAGGGTGGGTGCAATTTGTAGCATTTGAAAAATTTACGAGTACTGGTTTATCCCAAACTTCAATGCGAGAAAAACCATGCGACTCTTTGTTAATAATATACAAGCAAGAAAAGTGACTCTGTTTTCTTATTTACTTGTTTTTATTTCGTGTAATGGCTCGCTGGTTTGGCTGCTTGCCTTTGCCTTGTTGCTGGGGTAGTTGAGATATGAAGTTTTTAGTCTTTTATTTCAGCCACAGAAAAGCCGAATTCAGGTCCACTCATAGAGCTCTTTTAGACAACTTCTAACCAAGATGAGTACCTATTTCATTTTCATGCCTACTGCACTTAGATCTATCCCATGGCTTTATTAAAACTCTAGCCATTATCTGCTTCATTGCGTAACCGAAAAATGACTCACGTAAAATGACTAAAATAGATTAAACAAGTCCCTCTGTCTGTACTCGTTTTGTGAGCCTTGGCAGCCTGGAATCGGAATTTGATGCATTGGGGAAAAGCGATGAGATTTATTCTTTTAATATAAAACTGACTTCGGAAATGAAAAAAGGAGTAGAATAAGGAAATCGTTTATACCGTTCACCGATCCTCTTTCTGAAACAGATAATACGGAAGTTTGTGTTCCAATGAGCTAGACTCTCAGCAGTCAAACCCAGTCTCCCATCCGGGATGGTGAGAAGCCAACCTATCACTCCAAAATTTGGAATCGTATTTGGAGGTAACCTAAAGAAAGAAAGAGTAAGTAAAAAAAAAAAAGGAAATAGTATTCAACACCCTTGGCTTAGTCTGTTACAATCGATCCGGAATCTTGTCAGAATCCTTTTTTAGTTAGTGCGGCATTGTTTTCTGACCACCTGATACGCAGGTGAGCATTATCCGATCTATAGATGACGGGGGAGGCCTGGAGAGGGGGAAAGATTCGTTCGACTTTGGTTGTGTCAGAAGGGCATTAAGAGGGAAGATTCGGCGGATTCTGGTTGTGTCGATTCCTTCCTTAAAGCTCTCCAATATTCTTATATTTGCATCCTATCTTACTATCGCTTCTTTTTACTACATGAAAAAATGTAATTGAACGTAAAGGGCATCTAACTGGTGGCAGCCCTAGCGAGACAGTAGCCTACTCTTTACAATAGCGAGAAAAAGCCAAAATTTGTCGGATGTAAGATCGGAGACATGCGCAGTCGATTGCGGTTTTTTATATCCGGGGTGGTTGTGATCACATCACGTAAAATGCACGTAAAAATATCGATCGATTTCGAGCAATAGCTGTATACAGCCGTCCCGCTCTGCTAGAAATCAAGGACACGATAAACGACACAGTGGAAATACGTCTACTAAAGGTTTCCTGGGTCTCTTAATTAAACAGAGTCCTGGCATTTGTTACGTTATTTTCTTAACTCAAGACAAAAAATTTGGGGGTTCTGTTTCACAAAAGCGCTTCAAATGTGAACTAGTTGGAAAAATCGTAATTCTCTTTTAAAAAGCCACACCATCCCCTATTTTACCGTTTATTTTAAATCGTATTATCAGTATTTCCTTCGAGCTCTGACGCCAGCACCCACTTTTACATTGAAACTTCTAGTTAGCGTGCTATATTATGCCTTTCTCCATTTTCTTTTATTTCTTGTAATTATTCATTAGACTCTCATTTGTTGAAATGTAGGAAATAAATAAATATAATAAGTACACAAATAAAAATATGATCCCCTCATAAGCAGTTTATTGGAAGTCGATTGTCTCAAGTCCCTCCTTTATAGATGCGTTGGAAACGACTGATCCATCACCCCGTTACCCAATGTGAACCATATACCTTTCCCAATCCCCCGGCGATAAATATTGACAGATCCTTAATGACGAGGTCGGCGCCGATTCCATTAGGGTCCCTCTATGGGGCAAAGAGGAGAGACCCTGGGAAGGAAGTTGTGACGTATTATGGTGTGACGAGTTCAAACAGTGCAGAAATGAAAATGTTACAGGTTCAAAGTGTAATCATTTTATGAATAAAAGTAAATATCCACATGAAGAAAAGGTATTTACCGTTCGAAGTAGATTAATGAAGTCTTCCCAACGACATATTTCGATGAGTCCGTTTAAGCAATCTCTTTTCTCAAGTTTATGTAATTTGCCTCTTCACGCGTGACAGCTGTCCTCTGCGTGGCGAATGCGTGAATCTATATATTCACGCAGGCTCTGCGTAGAGGTCAGGTTGTGATTGTGTGGGTTACTCCGTGCGATTGCGTGGGTTTCTCCGTGGAGTGTGAAGTGCAGTGACTCATAAAGGACTGGAACCGAAGTGGTTTTCACTGTTTGCAGAGCAGAAAGAAGAGCTTGAGGGCTGCCTCAGTAGATCGAAAGGAGATTGTTGGATCTGTTTCTTTATTGGTGAGAACTCAGTGTTTCTTTTACTATGGGGGAGAAACCGTTAACGGATGCTGAAAGGAAGAGGCAAATCTCTCTTCGACGACTCCCGATCGTGGAAGGTGTGAACAGTCTAAAAGAAGCCTTCAATCGCCATTTGCACTACTCGCTCGTCAAGGACAGAAATGTAGCAACCAAACGAGACTACTTCGCTTCTTTGGCGCACACAGTGAAGGATAAATTGGTTGGAAAGTGGATTCGAACACAGCAAGCTTATTACGAGAAAGATCCCAAGGTACTGTAGTATTTTGTAGTGGCCATTTAATTTTGACCGGTACTAAATTTACAAACATATGTGTTTAAAAAACGCAATTCAAGCCATTTCGAAGTGTGGATAGAGGTTTTCTCAGTAAAGGAATTTTTTTTCGTTTAAACGTGATTGTTTTCTGCTTTTGCTCAGTAAAGGTTCAACCGACCGGCTTTTAAACAATAATTATTTCCTTTTACAATGTAAATCGAGAAGTACTAATTCTGGGATTGTTTTTCCACCCATGTGTTATTGAATTGAGGCAAAGGCTACGATTTCTAGGCTTTCGTCCAAACAACATTTTGCCCTATATTAATTTATTTTGTGCATGAAGGGTTTTTTAAAGAATATATAAATCATCAAAAATAATTGTGCATTCATTTGCGGTTACAAGAGCACAACCGTGACAGAAAGCATGATTTTATTTTGCATAAAATATTAGAAGTCATAAAATTGATATCCACTGGTCAAGTACAGTTGACCCGATTAAGCTCGATTAAACATTCCTTTTTAGGCACTTTACTCTGTTTTGTGTGTTTCTTTGTGGTAATATAAGATATTTTTACACATTACTTTGTTTTCTACTGATCAATTTGAATATTTTCCCTCAATGATTAGGCTGTCAATATTGTGGAGGAAACCTCAAGTCATCCATTATAGGTTTCCAAAATAATATAAATTCTGTTTGCTTAGGATCAAGACAGCATAAATAGTGTTTGTACTTTCTGACATTCCAAGACATCTGTTACACGTTTTAATATCTAGTCATTTACCGAAGAGTAATTGATAAGGAGTCCTGTACTTCCCACCCCTTTTTGATATGAGTTTTTTTGTTAATGGCTGAGTGAGTTTTATTTTATGATAATTTTAAATAGCTTCAAATAAGGAAAAAATGTAAATCAGCTGTTGGACTTGTTTGATTTTCCTTATTTTATACTCAGAAAACTCTCATGAGCCATATTTAAAAGGCAGCAGATTGTTTTGATGATCTAAGTGGAAAAGAACACAAAAACAGAGAGCTATTTTCTAGTTTTCAGTGGCCAATCATGTAGATAGCTCTTTTTTAAATATTTATATTGTGGGTGTTTGTGCTGTGAGTTGCAGCAAGTGAAATATCAACCTTACGATACTGTTCAGCACTACTGAATATTTCTACATAGCAGTCTGCGCTATATAAATGTAAATGTAAATATTTTAAAATTAAAATGCTCTTTGCTTGGGATGTCTGGAACTTGAGGTGAATAATTGTTTTAGTATAATTTCAGGTTCCAGACATCTCAACACAGCCAAAAAAAACAGACAGACAGACATCAGCAACTGACCTAGGTTGAGATCAAATAAACCTAGTTTGAAAAAAATTTACCTAAAGAACAAATTGACCTACAACAGGGATGTAATTAAAAATTGTTAGATCCTTTCACTCTCTCCAAGATCTCAATAGTAATTCGTCTTACTGTCTGCTATACAATGCCTATAATTGATTTTACTTCAGAGAATTTGGTATTGGATCAACCATTGTTACCTTCTTGATATTTTTCTTTATTCTCATCACTTGCCTGCTTGATATTATGTGTTGAAACTCTGTCCTGGTCAGTTACAAGTTTATAGGTTGATGTAACATTACTAAACCTTGTTGTGCACCAACTGGCTCTTTTAATTACTATTGACTTTTTTACTCTTGATCAGGCTCTGCCAAGCTCAGTTTTTTTTTCCCTCTTTTTATATTAACAGCGTGTATATTATCTTTCACTGGAGTATTACATGGGCCGTGCACTCACCAACACTATGATCAATCTAGGAATTCAGGGGGAATGTGACGAAGCTATGTATCAGGTAAGGACTGTACTTTTGGGGAGTTTTCTCCTCTCTGTTCTTTCTACATTTCCTGTGTTACTTACAAGGAGAATTGTTTGGACCATCAGGAACTTTGTAAATTGTTGATCATTTCCTTTATTCTTGTGGCCTTTACATTTGAGTAAGGGGTGATACTGTATGGAGAAATTAACGTTCAGTCACTCTTTGGTGTTAAAGAGTTAATTTGTCATTTTTGTCACTCTGTTTGAAATATCTAGTTTTCCTCACCCAAACCATGTTCCTTGATGTGAAATTATTAGCTGTTAAGAGTATAATTTTTGTAATTTTGAGGGACTCATTTTTCCTTGATATAGCTTGGCCTTGAGATGGAAGAGCTAGAGGAAGTTGAAGAAGATGCTGGTCTTGGAAATGGAGGTCTTGGAAGACTGGCAGCATGCTTCTTGGATTCGCTGGCTACATTAGGTTATGCTGCATATGGCTATGGAATCAGATATGAATACGGAATATTCAAACAAGCTATTGACGATCAAGGAAATCAGGTCTTAAACATATATTTTTTTCCTCCAGTCATATCTCTTTTATCTGGGTTTACCAGACTTATATATAACAGCTGCACACTGTAGTTTTCCGTATTTTTTCCTTGGTTGTTTGTCTTTTGGCTGGTGTCGCGTTTTACCATCGCAAGTCAGACAAATACAGCTTTAATTGTGGTAACATTGCAAATTCATCCTGGGGACATTTGCCTGGATGATAGCTTCTTTGTATTTTGGTTACATTCATTACTAGTATGTAACGTCCCTTAAACTCCTAAGATCTGATTGTTAATTCTCTCCTCTAGCTGCTACACATTTTCTTGTAAATTAGTTATGAGAATTTGGTGTTAGATCAGGATAACAACTTGTATCTGATACATGTAGGTGTTCTCATTAACTGTTTGCTGGATAGTGTATGGATGTTGCAAGGAGAAGTTACATGTGAATCACTTCTTGGAATTAAGGGGTAAACTCCTAAGTTCTGAATGTGAATTCCCCCCTCTAGCTGCCACATATTTCCTTGTAAATTTGTCATGAGAGTTCTGTGTTACCTGTAGATCAAGAAAACAACTTCTACCTGATAAGTTTGAACATTCTCATGTAGCCTTTTTGCTGGATAATGTATGGGCGTCATAGGTAGAGGTTGAGATGTGAATCACTTCTCAGAGTGAAAGGGTATTAAAACAAGCATTTTGTTCAATGATGTACTTCTTTAGCTGAAAAAAGAGTAATTCCTTCAATTTATTTAATGTTATTTTCTAAGGTTACGAATTTTTTATAGCTTTCTTATTTCCAGCAAATTAGAGAGGAATGTTATATTTATCTAAGCAACCCAAAGATCCAAAAGATTGTCTCAATATGTACAGGAAACATTGCAATAAAACTGAATTGCTTTGTTTACTTGAATAAGAATGGTATGGCAGACGTTGGTGGGAATTACTAATTGAAAATTAAATGAGGTCAAAAGTTAGGAATTGGTTTTGCTCATGGCTTGTTTTCAATAGTATATGTCTGTCTTCTTTATTTATATACAATAGGAAGTTACATGTAATTTTCACTCTGTCAGTATTACTGAATGAGTCATATCACTCATAATTTCATAGATTGAGCTACCAGATGACTGGCTGAAATTTGGATGTCCTTGGGAAAAGGCTAGACCAGAGTACATGATTCCTGTTCAGTTTTATGGAAAAGTTGAGTCAGATGTAACTGGAAAAACACAGCGTTGGGTTGATACGACAACAGTCTATGCCATGCCTTATGATCAACCCATCCCTGGCTATGGAAACAACACTTGTAACACCATGAGACTGTGGGCAGCTAAATCTCCAAAGAGTTTTGATCTCTCATACTGTGAGTAATAAAGTCAGGGCACTGTAAGTGACAAGTCTTGCTGCATTGACAAGGATGGGGTAATGTTGCTAAGTGCCGGCTGCCATTGAAATTCAGTGGATGTAAAAGCAGTGATTTCTGGCTGGATTTTTGACTGGAGAATGGTAAAGCACAACAGGCACTTCTGAGTTTACACACCTACAATCCTTTACCACCTTTGAGCTGCCTCACTTGAATTTTCAGACAGCTGCATAATTTATTAGCTACAGCCCTGCAAGGATCTGTGATGATATGCATGGATTCATACCAGTTTGAATTTGTGACTCCATTATCCTGGGAATTAAAAAAAAAAATAATAAATAAAATCATGGCAGGAACCTGTTCTTGCATTGTGCTACCAGGACTTGTTTCCTCGGAGTGTCTGGGCCATATGTATGTTATAATGAGATTAAATTTTGCTTTATGCAATGCCAAGATGATATATGTACTGTCTCAGGAAAAAAAAAAGTTCCCTTTGTTTTTCTCTTTCAGTGCCAACATACATGTTTGCAATTAACTTGATAAAGAACCCCTAAACTCAATTGCATAGTTCTCTAATTTTGTAGCCATCAGCAGACATGAATTTATGTGTTTAATAGAGAAAGAATTATGCATGTGACTTCTTTTGATCTTTGTGGTTCCATTGAACATGTGTTTGATCTGCTGATTAATTCTTTTAGCATCTTGAACAAAATGTTAGATGCAATGTATCAATTTTGATTAATAACTTTTTTTTAAAAACAAATTTATAGAATGTGTTGGCATTGTGTTTAAAGATGTCTATTTTTTTAATTAATTCATTTATTTAACTTTTTTGCAGTTAATGGTGGGGATTACATTAAGGCAGTGCTGGACCGAAATGTTGCAGAGAACATTTCAAGAGTTCTTTACCCAAATGATAACGTAAGATGTTCTGAGCACAGCATTAGTATTCATTTTCTCCACACTGTCAACTTTACATTTCTTGTGGTACTGGCAAGGAGATTTTGTTCGACAATCAGGAGCTCCCTTATGGTGATCATGATCAATTCCTGTATTCTCATGTCCTTTTTGTTTAATTCAGTGGTGATACCTTAGGGAGAAATTAGAAGCCAGTCACTCCTAGCAGTTAAAGGGTTCAAATTAGACATCAATATCCATTTGTCTTCTCTTTTCTTTCAGTTTTTCGAAGGGAAGGAATTGCGCCTGAAGCAACAGTACTTCATGGTTTCTGCTACACTCACTGACATTGTTAGAAGATACAAAGCCCCAAAATTTGGTTCCAGACAAGCTGTCAGAACAACGTTTGAGGATTTCCCTGATAAAGTAAGTTTAAGAATTGATCCAGTGGAAGAATCCTCATATATTTAGTGTTAACTCTTTTACTCCAAGATCTCATTAGTAATCTCCTAGTAATCAACTAGTAATCTCTGAATTGATATTTTTCTTTATTCTCATCTCTTGGTATTTATTWTAAGGCTGTGTCTCACAAGGACTGGGAACTACCGAATTCATGAATTTGATTGGCTGAAATCAATATTGAAAGCGGTCTAGATTTTCCCATCTAGACCGGCATCTAGACCGGTCCAGAAAGAAAAGGTACAAAGAATATAAAAATTTGGCATATAAGACACAGCCATATAATAAACATCTTATTAACTGAGCTAGGTCGGTCTGTATGGGAGAATCTTGACCTCAGTCGCTGGTACAGACCTCACTGCATTCGGTCTGCACTGGCGACGTCGGTCAAGATTCTCCCATATAGACCTACCGTTTGGTTAATAAGAACTAAGTATTGATTTTGTAAGGAATTAATCTGTCTTGGTTACGCATGGGAGTTGAAGGGTAACATTGTAGCCAGGTGTGGCCAGGTGTAATGAACTGTACAAGTTTGAATGATTGAAACATTGAGAGTAAAGTTTTAGTTACTTTGTTGTGAGGACTTCAGTCTTCATCAGATACATTAATTTACACATTTCATCATTAAATTTGTGTTGATCAATGTTGAGGGGAGAATTAAAATGTATGTACTGGAATTTTTATTAGTAATTAACATAGGAATGATAAAGAAGTATGAAGAAGTAGTGGATGATAAGCCCTTTACACCCTAACATCAGTATTTATATTCTCCATATTGTTCTCCATACATTTTCTAAGGTGCCAACAAGGAGAATTTGTTTTACAATCAAGAGCTTCTTTAGCCAGTGATCATTTTCTTTATTCTTGTGACCTTCATGTTTGATTCAGAGATGCTAATGTAGGGAGAAATTAGGTGCTTATCATTGACAGAGCTGCTCTTTTGTTTGTCAGGTTGCCATTCAGCTGAATGACACTCATCCTTCCCTGGCCATTCCAGAGCTGATGAGGGTCTTCCTGGATGTTGAGAAACTTAGCTGGGACAAAGTAAGACAATACATGTAAAATGCAGCAACAGGAAAATCAAATGTACAGAAAAAAAAAGAAAAAGAAAAAACAGACAAACAATATTATGAACAAATTCAACTCAAAGATATTGCAGCTTTTTTTTATGTCTTGATGATTCAGAAAAACTTGATAGCATTGATATGAGTCACTTCATGCAGATATGTCCTTTATGTAAAAGAGTTTTCTAAGGATGTATGAGAAGTTGTGAAATGCAGAGTATTGCTGACTGAAGTACGTGAAAAGCCTTTTTATCCCAAAGATTAGCACATTTTAATCAGTTCACCTGCTGTGATCAAGAAATATGATTCATTGAAAGGAACAGAGCTGCAAATTTATATCTTTAATACATTGACTTAAAGGAATGGGTTTTGTTTTGACTGAAATTAATTCATTTGGTGGGTGCGAGGTTAGCCTGCAGTTTAGCAGGCCCTTGTACTTCCTGCTGTCGGAGGGACAGTTTTCCTCCTGTGGCAGTTTTTTGATATTAGCTTGCAAATGGTTTGTATTGCTCAAGGCCGCATGAATACTTTTTCCACAGACAAATTAGAAACACTCTTGTCAAAGCAGTCATAATGAGAGCCTGCTTGTGGGCTAATGTGAGGTAAAATGGAACACCACAACACATATTGTTTCATTTAAAGTTTTTTTTTTTTTTTTTTAGGCATGGGATATTTGTGTGAAGACATTCAGCTATACCAATCACACAGTTCTTCCTGAAGCATTAGAGAGATGGCCAGTACACATGTTGGAATACATTCTGCCCCGCCATCTGCAGATCATTTATGAAATAAATGCTTTGTTCCTTAAGGTAAGGTAAAGTATAGGGTAGATCTGTTTATGGACCACAGTGGCCCACTCCGTCAATTCTTATTGCCGTCGATTTTTATTTTAGATTATTTAGCCTGAGTAGCTAACGTTACCGGTACATCCTGTAGAGGGAGTTGATTGAAGGTTAACCTTCCCTATAACCTCTTAGACTTCCCTTGACAATTACCAGTATCTAATTATTTCTTAGGCAGGACGGAGAGATTTCGTGAGGGAAAACTTTTTTGCCCACCACTTCAACATGGTGGGGCTTATATATGTACCACCTAGAATCGCATAATTGATTAAAGTCTCGCATTCTGATTGGTTAACGAAGCGAGGTATATAGCGTGGAATAGTGAGTTGAAAACAAGACTGAGTGATATTGTTTCACATCTACATGTACATAACAAAGATGTTTTCTTTTTTTCCTCTATTTATTCAATGATGCGATTCAAGGAAAATCCATTAACCAAATCGTGAATTCCGTGTTAATTTGCACTTGAAAACGTATGCGTGCGATAGCGGTTTTCACGTGCAATTTAACACGGAATTCCCTCGTGAGGTAATGAATTTGCCTGGAATATGCACAAGTAATTTCGCTATCTTTTCACAGGAAGTATCAGAGAAGTGGCCTGGAGACATGGAAAGAATGCGACGAATGTCCCTAGTAGAAGAAGGACCTGAAAAACGCATTAACATGTCGCACCTGTGCATTGTGGGTTCACACGCCATCAATGGAGTGGCTGCTCTTCATTCTGAACTTCTTAAAATCTCTGTGTAAGTGTCACTGACACATAATGTAATTGTGAACTGTTTAGGGCGCTATTCAATCAGGGTTTGTATCACCAAACCAAAGAAGTCACAACAGCCAATCAGAAGGCAGGAAAGATCCTAAAGAGCCAATCAGAACTCAAAGTTAATAACAATCACATGACTCAAATGTTTTGCATCCTTTTGGTTTAGAGAGTGGTGCGAGATTTCTGGACCAATCACAGAGCGAAGTATGGTAAAATTAATGCAATCCTGGATTTCTTGAGTCACTCGCAATTAAAAAATCGCTCCATCATAGGAAGAAGTAGATTACTTTTTATAGTAACTAAATTGCTAACAGTTGGACTTGATAACTAAAGGGATCATCCTATTTTCAATGATTTGCTGTAGGTTTAAGGACTTCTATGAAATGTTTCCCGAGAAGTTTCAAAACAAGACTAATGGAGTGACACCAAGACGCTGGCTTGTTCTATGTAATCCTGGGCTGTCAGACCTAATTTGTGAGGTAATACAGATAGAATGTTAACCACGATTTTTATTTAGTTGATCCTTTCTTCGACAAAGGACTTTTCCCGTCATCTTCATAACTTTTGAAATGGATGACGGCGTTGTGGTAAACTATATCAATTTGAATTTAAACTTCTGTGGACATGCATTTTTACACTTTTATTGATTCAGTTGGAAAGTTTCAAACTAGGTGAAACTGGTAGTTTTCACTTCTTTTAGATGGGTTACTTATTTTATATGTAATTCAATTCTGTTGTAGAAAATTGGTGAAGGATGGATAACTGATTTATCTCAGCTGAGAAAGTTAGAGAAGTATGTCAATGACAAAAACTTCAAACATGCCGTCATGAGGAGCAAACAGGTTCATATTCCTTTTTTTTGTAACATTGTCGATTGTTTTTACTTTGTCAAAGCAAAGTCTTTCAGACGTTTACTCTGGTTTATCGGCGGGCTCAGGTTGGCCGTATGGCGACCAGGATTATTATATGCGTGCATGTGTGTGTTCGTGCGTTTGTGTGTGCGTGCATTAGTGCGTGCGTGTGTTCACGCGTGCGTTCCTCTGTTTGTCTACCTTTCCGCTTTTCCATGCATCCGTCCTGTCGTGCTTTCGTTTGCTCATTCATTACTTTGTTTGATTAACTGTTCGTCCTTCCATGCTTTGGTTCGAATAAAGGGGGTAAGTTTTTAAAACAAGCTTTGGTGCTGCGTTAGTGGGGTTTATAGCAAGATAATTTAGTTTTATCAACGGAGTAGATACTGTGAATCGGCCATTGGAAAGAGTTTTTAAAGCTGACGTTTCGTGCGATGGCCCCTCATCGGAGTGACTTGTTTGCTCGTTCGTTTGTTAATCATTCATGTATTCTTTCATTCAAAAGTTGTTCTTTAACTCATGAATTAAAGGACGATACTAGTGTTACCATGTACACTTACAGGAGAACAAGATCAGGCTTGCAGATTTTATCAAGAAAGAATATGGCATTGACGTGAATGTGAGCTCCATTTTTGATGTGCAAGTGAAACGGATTCACGAGTACAAGAGGCAGCTTATGAACTGTCTTCATGTTTTAATTCTCTACAACCGTAAGTGATGAATTACATTACAACTCTACTCAAAAAAAGGCTCCTGGGATAATTATTGTTTTTAGCTTATAATAGGAACTGGTAGATGAACAAAGCCTATCATTCTAGGCTTTCAGTTAGTTAAACGAAGCGCGATAGATAACGGCGGGAGAGTGAAAAAAAAAACCGTGGGAGGTGTCAGTAGGATCGCGTCATGTTCTATGCGCAACAGCACCCAAACCTCCTCGGATTTTTCACCCCTCTGCTTTTTTGACACCGTTTACTATTTTGCTCTGTTTTACTGGAAAAGGCTAACATAGGCATCACTGTGCATTTTAACTTAATTTACTACACAAATTGAATCCCTGTACATGTAGAAATGAGTCTTCGTCAATATTATTCAGTGGAAAGTTGCAGAGTTGTTGAATAGTATGAAGAAAGTTTTCAGCCAGGCAATGTGGTCTTGGTATGACCAGTTTGCATGTCATTTTGTTTATTGTGTAATTCCCAGGACTCAAGGCAAATCCAGACATGGAGTTTGCATGTCATTTTGTTTATTGTGTAATTCACAGGACTCAAGGCAAATCCAGACATGGAGTTTGTTCCACGCACTGTCATGATTGGAGGAAAGGTAAGTATGTGCATTAGTTTTAATGGGAAGGCAAGTTTTGTAATTGTGTTGATAAAAATTTGTCTTTTTGTTTTGGCAGGCAGCTCCAGGTTACTACATGGCCAAGCTGATCATAAAACTGTTCAACAGCATTGCCAAAGGTGGGCACATTTCATGTAAATTGCATTATGTATTCCTTTAAGTTTTAGCTACCAAAGTAACAATGCCAGTAAGTCATATCTGTCAACTGACACTCTTAATCCTCAATTTGTTTGCGTCTGTTTGCTGTTTTTTAACCGGTGTTAAAACTGTCTATGGATGTTTAACGTGAGAATAAAGGACACTCGTAAGGTAGTACATTTAACTTGATGACCTAACTTGAAAAACAATTAAATAACAGTAACAGTTTTCTGACTGTTGTGATATAGCTGGGAAGAAGGACAACCTCCATATTTTCTTGACTGTGTTACTTGACATGCAATAATTAATTCTTTTATGTGATCTTACTTTTGTAGTGGTGAACAATGACCCAATCATTGGGGACAAACTCAAGCTTGTGTTTCTTGAAAATTACCGAGTCTCACTCGCTGAGAAGGGTATCCTTTTCATTTGGGCTTTCTAGCAAGTAGATTATAAGTTACCTATCTGCCTAATTATCACGCTTAAAAATTAAAAAAAAAAAAATATGTACACATATAAATTAAAACAAAACGCTTAGGGTAGATGGGTCAGCGTTTTAGAAAACTGGCCTGTTTTTAGTGAACATCTTTACGTTTCTGGATGGGAGGCCGTACTATACAATAAGTTTGCGTTTTATGATTTTCTGGCGTATTGAAGACGAGGCCTTGTAGTACCACAAGATAAAGGGCTTGGAGACCACAAGAACCTTTCCATTGAGTATGTTTTTGCACATCCGACTTCAGCATAGAAAATAGATTCTTTTATCAAGTTGAACAAGCACGTGTTCAGTGCATGTTAAAAATATTGTCGTCTTTGTAGCTTAATTCCTTGACATCGTTGCTCAGTTATCCCAGCAGCCGACCTTTCTGAACAGGTAGATTCACATAACTTTTATTGATGCTTTTAGTTCATTCTTAGGTCGTTTTATTTAATCAGTTGATTGCGCATTCAAGTAGGAGAGTGAGCAATAGCACCAAGAGTTTCCAAGCAGAATACGTACTGTAATGAGCTTTAAATTGGTCGCAACTTGCGTGCGTTGCAAAGTGTGATTGAACGTTTCAGCACAATACGAACTATAGCGCCCTGGCATTATTATGTAAATTGTATCACAGATCTCTCAAGAAACATTGCGATTTCTCAAGGAGTTCGAATTGTCACGTGTCAGTTGTTATTGGCGTACGTCTTGATCTATGTTGTTTTTCTACCTCTGCGTGTCTGATATGATAACGACTGACGACACCGTGATAGAAAGTGCTAACTTTGGCTTTGTACTTTGGACCTTCTATCGTGGTGCGCCAGGATGGATTTGTGGATGTTAAGAATCGTGTTGTATTTACATTTTGCTGTAGATATCCTTGGCAGGGACTGAAGCATCTGGAACAGGAAACATGAAATTCATGGTGTGTAATACTTCTTTTTCTATCGTGCCATAGAAAATAGAGCCAATAAGAATAAAGTAAAGCCGTCATATATACTCGGTAATACCATGCCCAACCTTCCCATCTTAAACGCCGATTTCACTCGCGCTGAAATGTTGACAAGCAGTGCCTTTTCGAATCTGGCTCTAAGACAAGCCAGGGAGAAGCTTGCCAGGGATCTGACACTAGACCTCTCGCCGACTTGCGTTCTTCAAGGCCTCAAATATTCCCGTGACCAAAAAGCGCCTCAAGTGGTCAACTCGCTAATGATGAGAATCTATTCGCACACTAATTCGAGTCTTTCAAGTGTTGGTCTCTGTTTACTTTACTGGACAGGCTTCCTTTGTTTTCTGTGCTGTTAATTTGATTACTTGATTTTAAATGATTCTTTAAACGTTGTCACCTTCATGTTCGTGAAAATTTTAAGTTCATAATGATTGTGAATTAGTGATTCAAGTGTTCCTGTTTATCATGTTGAAGATGAATGGTGCGCTGACCATTGGTACACTTGATGGGGCCAATGTGGAGATGAGGGAGGAGATGGGCAACGAAAACATCTTCATTTTTGGAATGACTGTTGATGAAGTCAATTCCTTGAGAGCAAAAGGGTGAGCGTTAGAATTAACAAGAAGATACAATGGTTCCCGGATGTGCCTCGGGTCGGTTGTGCTTCGAACAACCCTCACGCTTCTCTCGTGTTCTCAAAACTTTCCGCGTGTATCCATAACTAGATATACGCACGCTAAGCGTCAATTTAGGTCTAAAGCAGTATTAATTAGGAAACTGTGTAAAGTAGGACCAAATTCCGCTCTAGCAATTAGGATAAGTCCTAACATCGTTGATGGATCGTCACAGAGCTCTCACTGCGTTTCATTTTCGTTTCTTTTTTTTGGTTCTCTGTTATGCTAGTGTTAAACTGGAAAGTTTTCTGTGCTAGTGCACTCGTCAAGGAAAATTTTCCGGGATTTAAATTTCCCTTAACTCTTTGCAGTTCTTCAGCATGTCACTACAATAGCAAGTTTTGTTTTGAACAATTGCTTCTCGACTTTTATCCCTATTCAAAAACCGGCTGTTCTTTTTTGTTTCGGACAAGAGGACCTTCAGGATTGACTTCAGTGCGCTATTTATTACTTCAGAAATATTCAATCACAATATAACTATGAGGAGATCACTAAGCAGTGCTTTTAATTGATATCATATTAATTCTTTCGTAGCTACAAGCCGATGGATTACTACGACAACAACACTGAACTCAGGAAAGCCATCAATCAGATCAGAGATAACCACTTTTCACCAACGGAACCTGGTGCATTCCAGGATATTGTCAATTCTCTCCTGAATCATGATAGGTAAACACGTTTGTAATGGTTGGTTATCGTTTCCCTGATAACACATTTTCCTGCTTTTCGACGAAGTGCGAGTAAGAAAATAATTAGGTAAAAAAAATATATATATATATATATGTATATGTATAACCTCCCAGTTAGCTCAGTTGGTTAGAGCGCTGGACTGTTGTGCAGGAGGTTGAGGTCGATGGTTGGAGCCCCGGCCGGATCAACACTCAAGGTCTTAAATAACTGAGGAGAATTTGCTACCTTCTGTAATACGAAATGGATAGACATTCCAGTCTTCTCGGATAAGGACGAATAAACCTTAGGTCCCGTCTCCTGCATCTATTAATTAGTTAATTTGGTTAGGCAGGGGACATTAAAGAACCCACTCACGAGATTACTGTGATGTGGTCTGGCCTGTTTACTGGGAATTGGGGGGGAGGGGGCATCTTCAAATAAGTTTCCTTCGATTGTTTGTACACTGCTGATGCAGTCCAGCCAAAATCCCCCGAAAAGTGTTGTGATGCGCATTTGATCATATCCACATGTTAATTTGCGCAATATAAATATTAAATTATTATTATTATTATTATTATTTACTATATGGCTGTGTCTCACAAGGACTGGGAGCTACCGAAGTCACGAATTTGATTGGTTAAAATCAATATTGAAAGCGGTCTAGATTTTCCCATCTAGACCAGCATCTAGACCGATCTAGAAAAAAAAGGTACAAAGAATATAAAAAATTGGCATATAAGACACAGCCATATAATAAACATTTTATTAACTGAGCTAGGTCGGTCTGTATTGGAGAATCTTGACATCGGTTCCTGGTACAGACTGCGTTCGGTCAGTACTGGCGACCTCAGTCAAGATTCTTCCATACAGACCTCCCGCTTGGTTAATAAGAGCTAATTATTGACGAGAGCGCTTTATAATCCCAGAGTTGTTTGCGGCGCGCTAACCTCGCGACGGACTTCGCTGAAAAGCAGGGACCACTCTTAGTCCACTTCCCTGGCACATACATCGTACGTATCGCTTGAAACCTAACTTCTCCGCTTTTACTACATGAATAAGGAGGCTGCTACTCCCTCAGTGAAAAAGTACACATTACTTCTTTATTGATTTTTCTCCCTCTGTCTGTGTGGCAGATTCCTTCTGATGGGAGATTTTGATGCATACGTGAAATGTCAAGAACGGGTCAGCGAAGTATTCCAGGTAAGATTCAGATCCATGAGTGTTTTTATTTAGGAACATGCTTTACTTAATGCCCACATTTTACTTACGTCCATGACATCTCAATTGAGGCTTAAAACTCAAACAATCAAGCAAGAGGCAGTTGTTTGTTAAGAAAACGGACTATTGTGCAACAATGACATCTGCTCATAGACTCGCGCGGGAAGTATTTAGGGATATCTTGTGTTTTGATCGTCTGAAAATGGATACGATTCGACCAGCAAGTAGGGAACGAACTGACATAAACTTGGTAAAAATCGTCTGAATTTGGTTACAATTCGGCTGAGTACGATATGAAAAGACTGGATACCCTTTCCTCTACGATTATTGTGGCTATGACGTGAATTCAGCACCGGATGTGGGCCAGTTAAAGAGCATCTTAAAAATGATTTGTTGGACTTGCCTTCACAGGATTCTGACCACTGGCACAGCATGGCAATCATGAATGTTGCATCTTCTGGCAAGTTTTCAAGTGACAGGACCATCAAGCAGTACGCCGATGAAATTTGGGGTGTGAAACCTCTAAGTACAAGCGAAGTCAAGACTGTCAGAGGAAAATAAGCTACTATTTAGCCAATAGAAAGGAAGCGGCTCTTCAGCAAGGATTTTGCAAAATATTCCTGAGCCTGACTCTTAAAATGGTTTATGTTTAGAACTACATGTTGTAAATTTAGTGATTCTCATGTATATATAGGTGTTTCTTCCCTTAAGTCTACAAATTTCAAACATTTATAGGTTTAAGCCGGGGTAAAATTGTCAAGCTATTTGCTGCAGTTTAAGTTAGATGTAACTCAAAAAACACATAGTGATTAGTAACTACTAGGGGAGTAATAGGTCTTTTTAGTAGGCCAGGCATTCTTAAGATTTAGTTTACTGCATTAGACAACTGACACTTAAAAGAACTAGGTTAAATGTGACAATAGTGGTCTAAAAGTATGAAGAGCCCAATTGAGATTCAAGAGAGCCACAAATAAGCATTAGGTGGGTTACATCTGAAAAGGTTACTTGAATTGTCTATGGGCTAGTTTGGAAAAAATCAACCCGGTTTTTTCAATTTTATCTGCTTTTGTGTTTAAGTGTCGATGGTATTGCGAGTGATTTTGCTAATTAGACTGTTATTGGGACACTTAAGCTAGTGATGAACAAAACTGTATGACTTAGCCTCTCTTCAAAATGTTCAAGTGCATTTGTAGAAAATACTTAGGACAAATAAAAACTTAGGCAAATTGAAATCATGAAAAGATTTAACTGAAGTAATTGGAATTATCTCATAGTGGAATAATTGGGTTTTGTTAAGCTTTTCTTGCTCAGGTGCCATCTTTATACTGTTCAGGGAAGACTACCCTTAGGACGGTTAAAATTGCTTTAATTTCAATTTTTTTTTTTCTAAAGTAGCAATTATCTAACATTATTGATTACCTTACAATCAATCTTATTGAGTTGTATAGCATGATTTGTATGTCTACATTATTCTATGTTTTCACTTGTTTGAGAGGTCATTTGCCAGTTCCAGTGCTCAAGGCCCATCAATTGGGTTTTCGTTTACTTCTTTTTTGCCATTTGCTTTAATTTTTTCTTTGTACTGGTTGGCTGATGAGGTTAATTTGCAAGCAATTGAATTTTGAGTTTGAATCAAAAGTTGTTGTAAGAAGTATTAAATGTGACTATAATGTTTCTACCTTGCATTAAAAAATAATTCTACTCATTCTTAAAAGTAATTTAAAATGATTAAAATCTCCTTTAAAGAAAAAGTATTTTTGGTGAGTGATACAAAAATGTAGCTTACTAACCAAATTAATTTTCATATTGATTTCATCAAACGAAAAATCTCAGCACAAGAGGGAATGTTCCCTAACCAACAGTGAGGTTTGTTAGTTTTTTCTTTGTGTAGTGAGCAAATAAAGAAAATCACACCCCTTGAATACCATTAATTAGCTTGTATAATTGTCAGTGTCATTATCATTGTCACAAACAAAAAAACAAAAATCAACATCAACAACAATAGAATTCATAATAATTATTACTAAGATTTCCCAGAATGGTAAGCATGTCAAGACAGCATAATTCACGTAGAAGTATTTAAACTTTTATTTTGCATAAATTGTCAAACACATTTTGTGGTAACATTTATTTCTATTGATTTGCTGGAATACTGATCAACAATATGTTAAGGAAATTCTTTTTCATCTTTTTTTTTTTCTTTTTGAGGAAACTGTTGTCGAGCACTTTCTCGTGTCAGGAGCCTTTTTCTTCAAATTCTGATTGGTTTACTGAACATGTCAGTAGTTGTCTCTAATTGGCTGTTGCAGTTGCTTTCTTGTTAGTTGTAGTTTTGCATTGCTTGGCAAAAGGATGTGTAATTATCACCATGTACCACAAGAAATAATTTGAAATGCATGTGCTGCATTAATTTATTTTCCATGGATGTATGATTTTTTTGGAAAAGTATAATAAATATAGATAATTGAAACATTTTTGATGGCCTGGTTTATTTATATATTATTTTATCAATGTGATTATTTCTTTTAATGTGCATGATATGGAATACACAAAAAGAAATTCAAGACATTCACTAGGTAAAAGAAACAGCAATGGTAAATGGCAAGGGAGGTTTAGGGTTGGGTCCACTCGAACCTCCTGCACTTTTTCACTCTGCTGTTACTCCAATGTATTGCAGGGTTTACTATTCTGCTCCATTTTGACAACTGAATGCTTGGAAGAGGTTAAAGGGGATTTTGACCACTACCCTACCTGTAGTAGAACACAGTGCAGGTGTCACTCAACCCAAACAGCTGGTAGTAACAGTAATGGAAATGATACTCAAGATCATGATAACGATACTGATTACGATGGTGAAGAAGATATTTTCAATTAATGATGGAGGAAAACCTCCACAGTTTTTCTGCTGTCGTTGTAGTATTTCAAGACTCGATCAAATTCCTTGGGATCCAAATCAACTAGATCAATGTTGTAATGATAAAAATCACCACAAGTAATTTCAATGGCTGGTAGAGAAGCTTCTTTCTTTGATGCCCTCTGAAAAGATACCATCACAGAGCAATCCTTTGCAGTGGAGGCAACAGCAAACTGACAGATCTTCAGTAGTGCATCATTTAGGTTCTGTCTGTCATTGAGATTCGAGTTTAGATCTGTAGATGAAGGTTCTGATGAAATAGTATCCAAGATGTTACTATGAAGAGAAGAGGCAACCCTTTGCCATAAAGGCACAGTGAAAGGACCATCCACACCAAGACTTTCTCTAAGTCCTGGGTTGGATTGAAGGTAATTTAGCACTCTCTTGTACAGGGGGTAAATTCCCTCCACATCTAAGTCATCTAATTTCTGCACTGACAAAAGGTTTTGTAGGACTCCTCCATTCCCGAACAACCGATGGTCAGGACTACTTTGAATATTGAACTCTGACTCAGAAAACTTACTCCTTCTACACATGGAAGTGTTTGGGGAGTTAATCATATTGCTTGGCTTGGGCTGGCTTCTGCTTGAGTCATGTATGAAAATTTTCAACAAAATTTCCAGAAATTTTCTTGAAGAGGGACCAACATTGCCGCATTCATGTACATGTGTAGTAATGTTTTCTCCCTCTTTTTCATCTGCTGTCAAGGTATGCTGACCCTTCTCTTTTGTCTCACTATCTTCCATTTTGCTACCCTTTGTTGTCACAAAATCTTTTATCCTGGTTGTCACGCAATCTTTTATCTCGGTTGTCACACAATTGGTCAGATCATGGCACTCTTTTGTAGAGTTTACACCCAATGTATCTGCCGTTGTTAGGTCCATTAAAAAATTTGCCTTTTGTAGCGCCGTCTCGAGACACCACTCAGCACAACACACACTTTCTTCTTGAATACATCCCTGGACTATTTCATCTGTGAATATCGTAACGCCGTCACAAAAGACACGAAGGTTATTTTGTGGATTAGACACCAGACACTCAAAGGCGTACATAACTCTCCCCCTATCCCTCGAGAATAAATCCAAAGGACAATAATTACTTTCTCTTTTGTATTTTCCTTCTTTGACTTTCGATTTCTGAAGCATACAATACTGGCAGGTAGTAAACTTTGTTACTCTACTGGGATCAATGTACTTTGACGAGGGAAGGAAACCACACTTTGGCTTTAATTCCACTGAGAAGGTTGAATGGTTCGTTTCTTTCCCTCTCTCTAAAGAGGGTATTCCACCAGCGGGAAGAAAGCAGAAATCTGGCATGACTACACCCCATAAACAACTTTCATCAATCTCTTTTTGGAGTCTGTGATCGGGACGCAAGCCCCAGCATATTTCGTTCATCGATGCTATAAAAACTTCGGGAACAGAAATCACTTTTCCCACGCGCACATATTCCTTTCCCATCAGCGGCAGCATAACGCGCTTGGCGAATTCAAGGTTTTGTAAGGTCTCTCGCACGCATTTACCATCTTGATCTGATTTGGGAACTGAATTATTACCATAGCGCCGAAAGCGCTTTCGCAAACGCAAGACAGCTTTCAACTTTCGAAGTGACACAACCAAAGTCCAGGCTCCTTCACATCGATAACTCCACTCATGCAGGTCTTTGAAATACGCAGAGACACTTATTACCTCGCTGTCCGAAAGGTCCGCCATGTTGACATGAAATCCCTCAAGGTACTTTTCAATTCTATTTATATGACATAGTGTTGAGTTACGCTTTGTGACAGCGTACATAACAATTTGATCAACACACGTGCAACTTGCCAAGATGGCGGACAAAGTGGCTAAAAATGCGAAGAGAAAAAAGAAAAGAAAGCCGAAAGATTCTCATGGTTTTTCACTAGAAGATGTTCTTGCCGTCGGTGGAGACAAGGTTGGTTGCATTTTTTGATATCTTTTTTCTTACTTGAATCAAATCTTTTGCGTTTATTTGTACCCACTTTTGCAAAGATTTCATGGTGCGTTTTTTTTTTTGATGAATGAACTTAAAATCAATTTCGTGGCAGGACGACTTTGAGATGTTGAAAGATGTTGATATTTCAGATGACTTTTATGCTGACGAGGAGACGTCAGGGATTGTGGAAGAAAAAGAGGTATTGCAATTTTCATGCCCGGTGAATGAAAACGACGACGTTAGCGTTGATTAAATGAATAAAACTTCTGCGCTCAGAGGGTAAGCTTTTAATACGCTAATTTTTTTATTATTTTTTTTCACACGAAGCCTTTATTTTTTCATTTCTTAAGATAATGTCACTCATCAGGGAGCTGGGCTTGGACAAAGTCACCTTCAAAGGCGAAAAACTTGAGTGAGTGTTCATTAACATGCAGTGAAGACCAAACTCAGTATACTCTCACACGTAAAGTAATAGCAGCCTTGAGTGGTCGATGTTGAGGTAGAACAATCAATTACTGGAATATTTTCAGGGCTCGACACTGGTGGTAACCAACTTGCCACAGACTCGTAGAAATTCAGTTTTGGCTAGTGGTTTTCGATTTCTGCTTGCCAGTTTGGCTTGTAAACAAACTGAAATTGTTGTAACGTCTAAGATGTCACCAGCCACTTGGGCAGTAAGTTGAAAAGTTAGCGTCGAGCCCTCATTTTTCTTAGCATACTAGTTAACCATTGTAACAATGAAGTGAAGTGATTTTGTAGGTAAGAAATTTAGATGCCAACTAAGGTTGGCAAGTAAATAAGATGTCAATTAAGTCCTATAATTATTATTACGGAGTTTGATTTAAATTGCTTTCATTGGTTGTTATCCAGTAGTGAACTTGATATTCTTCAAGACGAAACTGCAGATACTGGCTTAAAATCTGGAGAAAGTCTCCAGAAGGATGTAGAAGGAAAAGATGCAAAGAAAGAGAAGAAAAATAAAAGGAAGGAATCAGAAGTCACAAATTTATCCAAATCTACAGGATCAACTGTGACAGCACAGGTCCCCCAAGTTTTGCCCGAAAGGAAGGGAGGTCCAAGGCAGAAACTTCTCATTCAATCTGGTGGCCTGTGGTATGATTTGGTAAGTAATTTATAAGGATTGAATCAACTTTTAAGAGTTTGTCACTGTATTAACCAATCAAGAGAACAGATGGGTGTTTATTATAAGTTAATAAGGAAATAGAAACAACACTTTTTCTGATTTTTGGGTATAATCATCAGGATGATTAAATATCATTTCTAACAGTGACTTCATCATTGTGTACATGTAGTTCTACTCTCAAGATTTGTGTGGCTTGTGTGCCACTTTTTTGTTCCTACCACATTTGACATTATCTATGATCTATAACTGAAAAGAAACACTGCGGCATAGACTCTACATCTATATTTGATAAATAGTTCATAAATGCTTCTTTAAGTCTTAGGTTAAGATACGGTATAGAATTGCATCATTGAATAAAATCTAGAATTCTGATCAGTTAACAAAGTGAGGTATTAGTGTGTAACTGCGAGTTGAAGATGAGGCTAATCGATATTATTTTGCATCTATGTATACTTGATAACCATAAGTAATGCTGTTTTCTTTTTTCTTTCTTATTATTTTTTCTTCAGTTATGCGATTCAAGGAAAATCCACTACTTGACTTGTAAATTCCACATCAAAGTTGCACTTTAAAGCTGATCTCACTTTCATCACTTTGTGATTCGTGCAATATCAATTTTTGTGTGTAATTTAATGCAGAATTCCCTTGTCAAGTTATGAATTTTCCTATAGAAGTTCTTTTTATTAAGATCACTTCAAACTGGGGGGATGTGTACTTTCCTGTGTTTTTTTATTTTTACAACAGCTATGGTTATTTATCTAGAAAATGATAATAATATGAATTAATTAACCTAAATTGATGCTGTTTTGATCAATATTTGCCTTAAAATCAATAATAATTACTAACCCAGAACTCCCAAGATTTGATTGTCAATTCTCCACTCTAACTGCTACACATTTCTTTGTGATCTAGTTAATAGGAGAATTTGGTGTTAGGTTGAGATTATAACTTTTTCCTGATGAGTTTGGGTATTCTTTTTACCTATTTGCCAGGTAAGGTATGAGCATCATTGAGAGAAGTTACATGTCAATCACTTTTTAGAATCAAAGAATTAACTAAGTTAATAAATAAATGTAGTATTAGTTGTAATTCCTTCTTTCGTGTTCTACTCTGTAGGTTGTTGAAGATAATACCTCTTCCCCCTCTGGTAGTGCAGATGATGTTATGCGCCTTTCTAAGGAAGCAGCTGACCTTTTTGAACAGGAGGTTGGCATCTATGATAAAAGTGAGTCAGTCAGCTGTACAGTAGGTATTCCATTGAGTCAAGTTGTGTAATCAGGAGATGACTCCTTGCCTGAGGGAGGCATCATTAAAATAGCAAACCACACTCCAAATGTTATGATCCAGTACATTTACATGTTACCAAAAACTTGTTCAGCAATACAGAAGATCATTGATAATGTCAGAATGGGGCAAGATCACCACAGGATAGCTGTAAAAGTCACTGATGTTCCTATGAGGAAATGATTTCTTCTGTGACCAATGACTGTGGGGACCCAGGTCTCAAGACTAACTTTTCAACTTACGAGCCAAGTGGTTAGTGACTTCTTAGATATTATGACAATCTCAGTGGAACTTGAAAACCAATAACCAAAACTGAATTTCTACCAGTCTGCGACTAGTGGGCTACCATTAGTGTCAAGCCCTGAGACCCATGGCAACATAGATACTATTTGTTTTATATGATAAAGAGGCAAAATGTTGTTAATGGCAACATCATCTAAAGTATGCATCTGTTCTCCAATAGATAATAAATAAGAACCAATCAAACTGCTATATTTCAGCTTATCATAAACTGTTAAACAATTAGCAATTATACCATGAGCGCACGTTAGATATGAGATGATAGATAGCCAACGAGGTGTGTAGCGCCGAGTTGGCTATAATCATCTCATATCCAACAAGCGCGAGTGGAATAATTGTTTTATTAAAAACACCCCCAAGAAATTATTATTTTGTAAGTAGAAACTGGATTTTTTAGCTCCCTTTTGATTTTAAGCTGACGCGTACGCTTACCATATTTGTAGATTATGGTATATTGGCTCATATACCATAATGGCTAAGCCAATAAAAAGTCTTGAATTGCATTATCCAATGATCCAGTTTTTAATAATGATAGATACTTCAATCAGTTTTCCTAAAAATTCTGTAACTGTAGAGCACTTCAGGCATTTAGGACCAAACCTAAGGGGGTAGCTTTGCTCGTCAAACTTTTTGGCCTGTCTAGGTATTCCTGTATTTACTTCTTAATATGCTTTGCAGTGAAAGCAAAAGAGAAGTCATCAGATTCCCAATGGTTAAAATCTGTAGTAAGCTCTGGAACATTGAATGACAAAGTTGCTGCACTTACTGTTCAAGTCCAGGTTAGTAAAAACAAAAATGTCCAAACTTGTTCGTTATGTCACTTCAAAGTTTTTCTTTAAATTCAATTTTAAATGCCCATGCTATTAGTCTGTTTGAAAAATTTAGAATTAAGAAAAAAAATGAACTTTTAGTCTAGCTAATTAATCTGCAGAAAGGCAGTGGCGTTGTTCCTCTAACTAGCTTTATGCTTTGAAACTTTTTCATCCCACCTTGTATGCCGCTCCTGTTAATGTCTCGTGAGTAAGAAAGATGTAAATTTGTTGGTTTGTTTTTCCTTTCATTTAATTCTTATGGCCACTGACTTATTTCACAGGAATCTGCTGTACATTGCCTAAAAACTCTAGATATATTAATTGGCATGGCTAAAAAGAAGGGCAGAAGAGAGAGTATTATAGCTGTAGGTGAGTTGCGCAGTCATGCATTTTGTAGAATATGTAGAACCTGGAAACTTTTTTTCTCTGAATATTTCTAATTACATGACTTATATGTTGTTGTGCCTATTATACAATTTGCCATCAAGAAGTTCTGGCTTTCATTCATACCCCTAAATAAGTGTATGTGACATTGATTGATTTTAAAATTACTACTGACACTAATTCTAAGCATTATGATGATTTTTTTTGTATGTTTTTTTTTTAATCACAGACATGTTGAAAGAACTTTGGATGACCCTTTTGTTGCCAAATAATCGCAAGCTTAGGAAATTTTCTCAGGTTTGTTAACAGTTTGACAAAGATTAAGGCTAAATGATTGCAGTTACCACATGAACCAGTTCACAACTACAAATATTATGTTAAGCATAAATATCATTTTACAGTTTACTTTTAATCTCAAGTGAAAATTGTTCACTTGTTAGGTTCCTTATCAGTTATCTTTAAGTTAGCTTTACAGCTTGGACTAACAGGACTCTGAGTCAGGCCCAAAGCATGCATATGCCCATGAACACAAAAAAATATTGTTTTATTATAATAGCCACAGACATGTAAATGGCTTAGGAACCTGTCTTGCAACCTTTTAATGGCTGCATTTTTGGCCTGTTTCACTGGGTAAATGTACAATGCAGAATGTGTGTTTTTGCATGAGAGGTCACGCATGATGATTATATATTTCTACTGTGCAGCATCCACTGTTGTCATTAGTTGAGATTGTCCACAAGGGTGGCGGCTGGGATGAACGGGATAAACGTCTCATTCTGTGGTACTTTGAAGAGCAGCTGAAACAGAGATATCAAGAGTTTGTTGAAGTTGTGCAGGTAACTGAATAATTTCCTCTGAAAATCATGTAATGTCCTTAAATGATAAATAACTTTACTCACGTTTGTTTACAGATGAGCTATCCAAGACTTTGAAAATCAATGTTTAGATAATTAAGCTTATTTACTGGTTATCTGACATTTTTTTCATAAACAATTTTTGTTTAAAAATATGCTTAAAACAAATTATTTCCTTGTTTCTTGGAATATTTTAAGAGTAAAACACTTTCAAAATTATCAATATTTTGTAGCCATGTTTTAAAGTTATAAAATTAATGTAAAAACTTATTTTTTTAAGCAACATTAAAGAAAGAAAGAAAGAAAATTTACACAAAAATCTTGAGTCCATGGACTTTTTGCTAAGTGATACCCATATCTTGGATTGTTTCTCAGAAACTTCTTCAGGACACTTTGGTAAACATCAGAAGCAAGATGCTAGGTAAGTCAGACTGGAAGTATGCAGTAATTCTAAACACTTTACACCCTAATATCAGAATGCATATTCTCCATACCATACTCTTAGACTAATACATGTCCTAAGGTGCTTACAAGGAGAATTTGCTTGATAATCATGAGCTTCAGTCCGTAGTTGGTGATCATTTCCTTCATTCTCCTACCCTTAATGTTTGATTCAGGGAGTGATATTGTAAGGAGAAATTAGAAGCTAGTCACTCTTAGCAGTTAAAGGGTTAACACTCTAACATCAGCATCTGCAGTTTATACTCTTCTTTAGTATAATTTCAGAGCTGAGCAAAGAGTTTCCAGCAATCTGATTGGTTGAGCGGTTCCTTATAAATTATGACGCTATATAAACCACTCCAGGTGGTTTATATAAAATGTTGAAATAAATTGTTAGTAAATGCTATGATTTTAGAAATTTCTCTGTTGCTCAGCTCTGAAATTATACTAAAAACAATTATTCGCCTCAGGTTCAGTGAATATTGTCGAATAATCCCCTTGACTTTGTCTCAGATTATTCGACGATATTCACCTCGTCTTAGGTGAGTAATTGTTAAATATAATTGTTTCCGTACTGACGAGGTGAAGTCAGTAATCAATACGAGCTACAGTCGAACCTCAATTATTCAGACCTGTTGGGACCAGACAAAATGCTCTGGATAATCGAGAATGTTTATGAATATTAATGAGGAACAAAAACTGATTAAATTAGGAAAGTGACTTTTAATCCTGAAACAAAACATTTACAAATCGTTTTGAAAAAGATCTGGTCTACATTTTCATTGTCCTATGTGAATATCTCTACACATGTGTATTAACAATTAAAACTAGTGAAAAAATTAATGTTTTTACATTGGCCTAAAATGTTGGAGTAAGTCAGTTTGTCCTAAAGACGAACATCGCCTTCACTTCACTTTTCAGTGCTGTAGTTTTAAAAAGAATATGGCTACGAATCTTGATCATGACTAATAATCAAGAAAACCAGATAATCGAGGTGCGACCGTAGTTTTAGGTCGGCCATCTTGTTTTTTTTACTCTCATGATCTCAATTAATGATTCAGAAGTATTTAATGTAAGGAGAAATTAGAAACTGGTCACTCTCAGGGTGAAATGGTTACCTGGTGCCTCTCTTCAATAATAGAGATGTGCCTTAGTTGCTGTTTGAACTGTATCTACGTGGTCATAATTGATTAATTGATTAATTAAAATCAATGTACAGGAGCTGTGTTTGACTTGTTATCAGAGAAACCAGAACAGGAACAAGTGAGTTAAAATTTGTCGTAAATGTTGCTGGGTAAATACCCTTGTTACATGCACTTGTTTAGCAGCCTATTACTAAATATTTAGTCTATTAGTTAATATTTTAGGAGAGGGTTGGGTTGGAGCATAAACCTGGTAGGGGAATTATGTCCTATTGCTTGTGCTCAGGTACTGCTTGTACAAATCCGTAGATAAATGAATGAATAAATAAATAGCTAAATAAATTTACCATTATGATAATGATCTCCTCTACATATGAGTAGATGTTTGCAAATCAGCCACATATTACTATAATAATTTTTAATTAGGATATGATCATTCTTAGTATTATCATCATCATTTTCATCATTATCATTGTTTGCCAAAAAAGAGTTTGAATAAATATATTATATAATCAATAGCAGGTTATTTGTTCACCAAAGGCTATTTTTCTAGTAATTTGATATGATATTAATTAACTTTATTTGTATATTTTTGTTTGGTTTGTTTGTTTGTTTGTTTTTGTTGTTGTTACAGGTTTTGTTAAGTCTACTGATAAACAAGATAGGAGATCCTGACAGGAAAATAGCATCAAAAGCAGTTTATCTTTCAAGAACATTAGGTGAGCGTCAGTTTTAAAAGTTTCACAGTTAAGCAAGTTTTAGCCTATCCCAGGCATTGAGTTATTGAAATGGAAAAAACACAGAAAGCAGACTGGTGAGGGAGAATTGGGTGAGGTTCATGTACACCTCCCTAATCTTCTGCTTCCATAGCACCTATTGCCATCATGCTTTCTTTAACTCTTTACCTCCCAAGATCTGATTGTTAATTCTCTCCTCTAGTTGCTACATATTTCCTTGTAAGTTGGTTACGAGAATTTGGTGTTAGATCAAGATGACAACCTATAACTGATAAGTTTGAGTATTCTCATTACCAGTTTTGAATCATGCTTTGCATGAACTAATATTTTATTCTTTTAATTTGTCTTAATGTTTTGCTTCTTTTCCTCCAGTAACTAAACATCCAAATATGAAATTAGTGGTCACCAAGGAGATTGAAAAACTTCTCTACCGACCCAACATTGCCATCAAAGCTCAGTAAGTACTTGACACGTCGTTGTAGAATTCTAATGCACGTCACTTGCTTTTAGAGCGCCTTTTAATCGACTGTCAGTGGTAAAACTAAGACTAAAGTAATCACGACAACCTTTCGTAATAAGGGACAATATCACCAAGAGCTAAATGAGATTAGAATGGAAAAACAAGCAAACTGTTAGACTACAAGCAGCCCCTCCTTTTCTGCGAAGTTCGTCGCTCGAGTCAAAAAAATATCAGTGAAAAAGAAGTTGATGTCAGCGCGCCGCGGGAAGCTCTTGGAGTAACGCCAATGCACCGCAGGAACTCCATGAGTTAGGCGCATTTAAAAATATACTCCAGGGTCGGGTGGTTCAAAGGTGGGTTAAGATAACCCAGGGTGAAATTTGATTTCAGATCTGAAAGCTTCAAAAGAAAATTCAGTATAATTATTTTTGTCCACAATCTTGTGATTGGATGCTCTGAAAAGAATAAGGAAAATTTTCCCAAAAAGATTCTTGAATAGAGAAATAAGGAAAAGTAGATTAAAATTTAAACCTGGGTTAGTGCTAATAGGCCTTCGAACTACTGGACCCCTGGGCGTTAAGGGAGTGTCCGAGAGAAAATTGCCTTTCTCAAGATCAAAACACAAGTAACCCCGGCTAGGACGGAAACATGGTCTTTTTGGAGACCACGTCATTAACCATAAGGCCACTGTGTTCGCTGATCCGTCCTTCCGTCCGTTCGTCTCTTAATCAATTCTCTTCTTCATTTTTGTTTCCTTGCATAGATGTAATTGTATGTAATCATCATGCACTCTCATGACCCAAATATTACTTGCAATGTACAAAATGCCGGTTTAGTGTTATTTAACAATTATTCGCCGAAGGTGAGGTGAATATCGTCGAATAATCCCCGAGACGAAGTCAAGGGGATTATTCGACAATATTCACCGAACCTGAGGCGAATAATTGTATTAGTATAATTTCAGAGCTGAACAACAGAAAAATTTCTAAAATCATAGCATGGAGCAACATTTTAGTAACATTTATTAACATTTTATTTTAACGTTGATATTTTTATATAAACCGCGTGGAGCGGTTTATGTAGCGTCATATAAGGAACCGCTCGACCAATCAGATTGCTGGAAACTCTTTGCTCAGCTCTGAAATTATACTAATATAGTATAGTATCGGCATAAAAACACACGCTTGACCAATTGCACATCTTGACTTGTATATTTCTGTTACTAGCCTTAGTTTACTTTAATTTTTGCAGATATTTTGCTGTGTGTTTTCTCAATCAGTTAATTCTTACCAAACAAGATAGCGAACTTGCTACCAGACTTATTTCCATATATTTTTCATTCTTTCGGGTAAGTTATTGCACTGCATGTATACTTAACAGGGAAACATCCAGACTGTGTGACAGTGTCTAGTTTAGTCTAGTTATTTTAAATGTTTGAGGCAGCATTTTTCATCAGACTGACCCTTTAAAAGCATCTCTGTGGAATAAATTAGATAAGCTATTCTGTAATGGAAGCCACTTACGAATTGTTCAGATTTTTAGAAGCGTGTTATCCAAAGGTCTGGGTTACCGTTGCTTGCGAGGTACACCGTACTAACAATTTTCTCTACGTTCGTGACAAAATGAATAACATCCTTCAATCTTTTTTGAGTTATTCACTTTGAACCTAAAATCGTTCAAATGCAGCTTTGATAGCGGAAGTAAAGGCCACTCACTTCTGGCTCCTCTTCCCTTTGAGTTCCCCCTTGGCTATGCCTTTGAGCTGTGAACTGCCCATTGAGAATTTACAAGTACATTCATGTTTAACAGTTTCCAAATCTCGGTAGCCTGGCTGTTACGATTTAAAATTTTTTAAGTTGTTGTCTATCTTCGTCAACAGGCATTTCTAACAAAGGGAGAATTGGAAGCAAAAATGTTGAGTGCTCTTCTTACTGGGGTCAACAGAGCGTTCCCTTATGCAAAAGGTATAAAACATCGGAGAATTAGCGTTACGGCGCAGTACTAAAAGTGTAAATATGTTTTGATTATGCGATGAAAGTGTCATACGTCTTGAATGTCTGCGATAAGACTCACTACTTCTCCTGGAAACAGACAGGTAAATAGGAAAGTGTATGTAGAGATATTTTCGTGGTCAACAGGGAAACAACGTGGTAGAAGGCCTTGGAGCACGGTAATTCGGTAATTAACCCTTTGACCTTATGAGTGACTAGCATCCTATCTTTACTCACAGTACCCCCCCCTGAATCACACGGTAATTAACCCTTTGACCCTTATGAGTGACTAGCATCCTATCTTTACTCACAGTACCCCCCCCTGAATCACACGGTAATTAACCCTTTGACCCTTATGAGTGACTAGCATCCTATCTTTACTCACAGTACCCCCCCTGAATCACACGGTAATTAACCCTTTGACCCTTATGAGTGACTAGCATCCTATCTTTACTCATAGTACCCCCCTGAATCACACGCGAAGGTTATTATAATTAAGGAATTGATCACCAACTAAAGAAGCTCATAACTGTTAAACAAATCCTCCCCATCAGCACCATGGGAAATCTATGGAGAACATTATGAGAATATGCATTCTGATGTTAGGGTGTAAAGTGTCAACTCATGCTTTAAGTTAGGGTCACACATATACAGTCGGTAAAGCTGTTTTTAAGGTACCGATTTCCTCTCCTTCGCAGAGGAGGACGATCAGTACAATGAACAGATCAACACTCTTTTCCGTACAGTGCATATTGGAACATTTAACACGAGTGTACAGGTGAGAGTGCATGGAACCCTTCGATTTTTTTATTTTGATATCTTCACAATCTTACTGCAAACATGTACACTGAAGTAAGCAAAATTTGTCAATAAATGCGCTATGATCGATAAAGCACAAACCGAACTCATTTAAAATATTCCTTCCACGGGCAATTTTCATTCTATTGCCAAAGTTCATTGAGAATTGCGTTAGTTTTGTTTCTTCCTTCTCTATGAATGGCAGAAAAGCAGCTTTTTATTGCTATTTATCGAAGGTGCCCCCGTGTACAACGAGTTTTCCTCAGCATGTATTTCACTTTACAGGCCCTGATGTTACTCTACCAAGTTATGGAATCAAGGTACTAACATGTATAGTACTTACATTATTTACCTGTTTACTAGTTAATTATGGTATCGTTTACCTAGTATGCGTTGCAACTTGAAAGTCCTTTCCACGTAAAATGCATGAGAGCAATCAGTAATTGCTTTTGACCAGAGATTAGATCCGTGAGGTGAATTTACAAAACAGCTACATTTTTGAAATTTGATGAATCCAATTGCAGTTCACCCCACTTACGGCCTGGACAACTTACATGACCATTCCACTCCCAAGATTCGTCTGCCATACAATTCTTGTGATGTTATTTCGGAGAATTTGGTCGTGAATCAACTAATAATCCCCTAATTGATATTTTTCTTTATTTTCATCACTTGTCTGCTTGATATTGTATTGATATTGTAAGGAGAAATATTGTCTTGATCACTCAAGCGAGTTAAAGGATGAGTGAGTGAGTTTTCATTATTTGGATATATCAACAAAGTTGAAATGGTAAATTGGCCAACGTAACGATTACAAAAGCTGACGTTTCGAGCGTTAGCCCTTCGTCGGAGCGGAATTTTCATTATTGTTAGCTTAAACGTGTCGTTTTTCTTTTTGTAGACAGTCCGTGTCAGATCGATTTTATTCGGCTCTTTATGCTAAACTCCTCGATCCAAATCTAAAAACATCTTCTAAACAGGTGAGCATGTTGCCTAGTACTATCCTCTTTCCTCTACAATGACGCTTGGTTTTGAAAACTGTTCGATGTTATTTCATGATAAATAAAACTCATTGTTTCTTATCATGTGTTTATAGGCTGTGTTCCTGAACATTTTATACAAGTCTGTTAAAAGTGACCCATCATTGCATCGTGTTAAGGTAAGGGTGTGTCAACTCACTTACCGATATATATATATATATATATATATTTTTTTTTTTTTTTTGCAAAAAGGAAAAATAAACATAGAAAGACATTTTTCGTCTAGTCACAAGCGTGCGACAAAGAAAAAATTATGAGTTCCCATGAGGAATCAAACCTCAGACCTTCGGATTCCGCGCTCCGATGCTCAGAATGTTTTCTTCGTCCCACGCTCGTGACTAGACGAAACTCATCGTTCTATATCTCTTTACCGAATATAGCGGGATGTACAGTGAAATACAGCCCGCTATATTGACCAGTCATAGCGCATGCGCTAACTGAAGGATATGATGAAACAAATACAAGAATCAAATGAATTCCGGTAACTTTTCTCGTACGACCAAGTTAAATTTCAAGCCTTACTCGGGTGGTGTCGTTGCTCTTGTTGCTGTTGTTAATTTTAGTCATAATCGATCAAATAGACTGGTCTAAACGCATCACAGGACTGACTAAAACTGGGGACTATCTGAGGTTATACCTCGATTGATTTTTCCCACTTTGTTAACGTTATTTTCGCTAGGGTTAGTCTTCATTTAAAATTAATCCAAGATGAGAGAGCGTTATGTAGTTGTCAGAGAAGAAGAGACATGTCTGTTTGCTCATAAAGTCGTACAAGTGAACATATCAAGCAACAAACGTCAAGCTGTTCGTAAACATTTTCCCCACAAATTGCAAAATACTCGAAGGATAATAAAGACAAAATCTCCATTTGGCACGAAGATATGCACGAATATTTATCTGTTCCGCGTAGCTCGCAGTTTTCCTCGAGCCTCGCTCTTGGAAAACTTTTCGCGAAACAGAACAGAAAATGTCCGCGGACAAATTTCCATGCACATTTTCGCGCCAAATGGAGCCTTATTTATTTATTTATTTTTAGGTGTTAAGATTATGTCTGTCATTTTCAAAATTTTGCCAGCCAGCGTGTCACTGAATTCGTCTCTGTTTTCCAGGCGTTTGTAAAACGTATCATACAAGTTTGTAGTTTCCAACAGCCATCATTCGTGTGTGGAGCGCTTTTCATGATTTCTGAGGTGAGTTATCAGTTTTACGCATACAAAAATGATAACTATAAAGTCTGTTCAAGTTCCCTTAGTTTTCTTGCCCAAATGGTCGCCTTTAGTAGTATGATAAGTATGATTTAGTAGTATGATTTGAGGTGCTTGTTTCATTTTAGCTAACAAAACTCAAACCAGGAATCAAGAGCCTGACACAGCAACCAGAGGTGGGTGGTTTCCTTGTCTCAATGCTTTATGCTAGTCTTGTACAATTAATCGTTTACAGTGTGTCTTTCTCTATTTCTTTTCCGAGCTTAAAACTTAAAATTTTGCATTCTATTTACAAAACATGACGCTATCGGCATGGCCGATCCTAGCAGCATACAGGATGCGTGTCATATGTTAACTTCGTAACGGGCCTTCCTCACCAGAGAGTCTCTGCGGTTCAGTGGTAGAGCATCGGAGCGCGGAATCCGAAGGTCTGAGGCTCGATTCCTCACAGGGACTCAGAATTGTTTCTTTGTCCCACGCTCGTGACAAGACGAAAAACATCTTTCTATATTTCTTTACCGTGCTCAAAACTTACCATCTTTCTTATTCTATTTTGCTATTGTTCTTTATGAAGAGATTCTCTAACAAGGTGGCTCTGGACTATATGCACAGTATAGTCAGCTTAGCCAGAGTTACATAACTTTGTTATTACAATCATCAAAGTTTGCAAGATCATTTTGAAAACTGTTCGTGTGAAGAACAAACTCCTACTGGATTTCAAATGAAACATTCTACAGATGTGTGACATTGTCTCGGTTTTGGTCGCGTCTTGTCAATCTGCATTTGTTCCTGCTTTTTCTTGCCAAGATCTTTAAGGATCCTCCATTTTCTAGCTAAAATCTTCAAGGATCTCTCATTTTCCTATGGATATCTTTGAGGATCTTGTCTGGATCTTCAAAGATCATGTCAAAAATTTCAAATATCCTTAAAAGATCTTGGCAAGAAAATAACAGATTTTTAAAGATCTTGACAAGAAAATGAAAGATCTTAATGGAGATCCTCAGTAGGATCCTCGATGGTGCTCATGAAGATCTTTATAGGTCTTCCAAATATTTTCCCCAGGGTGGCCAAACAGCACCACGTAGGTTTGTTCCCCACGCATAAATTGTCTCCCGTTCTCATAAATGAGAGAAAAACATGTTGAGGCTGGAAGTGTCTCAATAAAATTATTTCGAAATGCTATTTTGATTCTACTGCAGTTTTGACAGTCTAGTGATGATGTTATTACCTGTCAGTTGTAGTTGTTTTTTCATGTCACTCGACGAATGAATACTTGATATTACAGTATTTATTTTGAAAACAGATAAGGAAGCTGTTTTTAGAATGTTGGCCCTCCTTTATTAAACTTTTTTTTTCCGGCTGTTCCCAGGGTCACTTGTAAGGTTAAGAGTTTTCCCTCGTTGTGCTTTAATATGATATTATTTATCGTAGAAACTAAGATGCCTCCCGAGCTCATTATTCGTCGAGTGTCTAAATCTAACGCCTTCTCCTTTTGTTCCTAAATAGCTATGAAAATATATTTTCCCACTTAAAGAGAGCGAAAGAGCGAGAAGTCTTTCCTCATCAAAGCGTGACGGGTTTATTCATCGAGTGTCTCCTTTCGTTCGTAAATAGCTGAAACAAATGAAGGTGTTAAAGCAAAGAAAAAGATTTTTTTTTCCCACTTAAAGAGAGCGAAAGAACGAGAAGTCTTTGTTTTTGTCAAAGCGTAACGCTTTTGTGTTTCTGAACGTGACTCTCCAGACAAAGCGGCGTTAAGTTAACCAATAACCCTTGAAAACTGTCAGAAGAGCTCAACAAATATTGTGGCCACGCCCGCCTGTTTTCTTTACCTGAAGTCTTACTCTCTTCACAAGATTACTTCAGACCGTTACAATAGTTACTTTATAACCGATGCTGTTTCGAAACCGGCCTATGTTCACTTCAGTTTCTTCGCGATGTTTGCTCGGATAGTAGTTTGGCTGTTTTGTCTTAACCAACTCGTCTCCTTAAGGGAAGTTAAGAGAGCTTTTCAGACTGGTGATGTTATGCTTGGCGGACTCACAGTATTACATTACAAGGACGCGAACGACAAATGCAGTTTAGGCTTTTTTCCCGTTGGTCTCGGTCACGCCGAGGCTATGATCCTCACGATCGACCAAATCAATAAGGACCCTTCATTGCTTCCGAATGTTACTCTTGGCTTCGACATCCGTGACTACTGCGAAACTGTCTCTGTTGCCGTAAAAGAAACATACGATTTTGTGCGAGATGCAGAACTGCATCATATGTATGCGAACACAAATTCAACCATCAATAACGAAACAGCTTCGTGCTATAGCGGAGATCCCGTTGCTCCTGTTTCTACGATTCTAGGACCGTACGACTCAGCCAGCGCTATTCAGATTGCTAGTCTTCTCAGCATGGCCAAAATCCCCATAATAAGCTTTGCTGCGACGAGCGACGAGCTTAGCTCCGATCAGTTTCCATACTTCTTCAGAACAGTTCCGCCTGACAAGCAGCAAGCGAAGGTGCAAGCAGACCTGTTTGAATATTTCAAGTGGACTTATGTTGGTACGGTAGCTCTGGATGATTCTTACGGCCGGTTTGGTGTCTCTGCGTTACAGAAAGAGGCGTACAATCGAGGGACGTTTTGCTTGGCCTTTTCAGAGTTCATTCCGCGTCTTCGTGCTGCCACTGATATGAAGCAGATTGTGTCACGCATTAAACAGCAGAGCAGTGTCAAAGTCATTGTGGTGTGGGTCTTCGGTGGATATGCGAAGCTGTTCTTCGAGGAAGTGCATAGACTGAAGCTTGGGCGACGGACCTGGATTCTCGGCGATGGAACGAGTACAGAAGACAGCGGGCTGCTCGGACCGTATTTTCGTCTACTGGACGGCGCCTTGGGCGTTCAGCCGCGCGATCGCAAAGATGAGACTTTGCTGAATCACTTGTATTCTTTAACGCCGCATAAAACTCGTTTGGGAAGGAATCCGTGGTGGGAAGAATACTGGACAAAATTTCGGAGTTGCACCTTTGACGCAGACAGTGCAACAGACCCGCGATGTTTCAATGTGCCACTGTCCTACAATGAAGTTTCAAAACTGTTCGATCCTTATCTTGGCTATCTTATAGACGGTATCTTTGCCGTGGCATACGCATTAGACAAGCATTTCAGGTGTCGTGCTTCAGACCGAGAGCTTCCGGGGGAAACATGTCCTGATGTAAAGTCATCGGCAACTTACGGAGAGGATCTGTTGTTTCACTTGAAAAATGTCAATTTTTCAGGACTCACTGGCGTCGTAGAATTTGACCGCGACGGTGATCCCAAGAACTCATTCTTTGAAATTGTGAACATCCAAATTAATGGGGAGCGAATTTCAAAGAAGGTCTTGGTAGGATCCTGGAATAGTAAAAACAAGCCAAGGTTGGCACTGAACGACTCTGCGATCAAATGGACAAACGCTAGTTTTCCTACAACAGTACCGTCTTCATTCTGCCATGAGGTGTGTCCCCCCGGAACTAGGCAAGAAGTAACCACTCCATGTTGTTGGAAGTGCGTTACATGTCCGGGGGGTACAGTCAGTAAGTTGCCTGGATCTACCAACTGCACGCAGTGCCCGTATCAACAAAAGCCGAACGATGATAAAACGAAATGCGTGGACCTGCCAGTGAAAAACCTTCACTTCAGAGATGCAGGTGGCGTATTCCTTTCTTTCGTGGCAGCTTTAGGATTTTGCGTGACCATGGCCATGTCACTTGTGTTTGTGAAATATCGCGAGACACCAATTGTAAAAGCCTCGAATAGACAGCTAAGTTTTCTCCTTCTTGCTACGATCTTCTCCAGTTTTACTCTGGCACTGTTAAGCATTGCAGAGCCAACTGATTCTATATGTCGCTTGATTCAGTTTTCTCGGTACGCAATCTACACTACTTTTGTATCCATATTGTGGCTAAAGTCAGTTCGTATTTTCGTTCTGTTCCAACTCAACAGTTCAGAAATGCCCTTTCAAAGTTACATTGCAAAAGTCAAATACCAAATCGGTTTGGTTGCTCTTGTGAACGTTGTCGACTTCTTGCTGTTAATCGCATGGTTCGCATCAGATCCGCCATACAGAAACGAGAAGATTCAACCGACACAGTTCATATTCTACACTTGTAAACTGTACGGGTCGTCTGTCGGAAAAGCATTTTATTTCATGGTCTGTTCGTATGTGTTACTTCTTTCATTACTCTCGTCTTTTTACGCATTCAGAGTTCGTAAAGTGCCAGATAATTTTAACGAGGCGCGCTTCATAGGATTTTCGCTTTACATCATTTTGTTGTCTGCACTATGTTATTACTCGGTGGAATTCTCAGTGCAGGACGGTTGGTATGTTTCAGTTATAGCCTGCTCCACGACACTAGTTGATTCGTTTGGGCTGCTTGGCTGCATGTTTATTCCAAAAGCTTTCAATATCCTGTTCCATCCTGAAAGAAATAAGAAAGAGCTGATAGGGGCACAGGTCACCGCCTACGTTTGGCAGAATTCGCAGTTAGCAAGCGCGAGTACGCGTGATAACAGACCAGAGATCAGCCAAAGCAGCGAGAGTACTGTTGTTGAGCCAAAGAACTAAAAACACAGGGGAAACGTAAAACGATTCATGGCTTTATTAAGGAAACTCTACTATGAATTCTCGGAACTGATTTATGTGTAACTCCTCTTTACATTTCGAAAACAGTATACGGGAGATAATGACGAGAATAGCTAATTTTATCATCTAATTAGTGTTATTTTGATGAAACACCAAATTTCTCAACCTTTTTTTGTAAGAAATTATGTTGCAGATAGTTACTGAATATAAATTTGGAGTGTAAGCTGTTCGACGATATTGCATAATTATTGTCTCACAAGGCTGCTTTAATGCATGCTTATTCGCAATGCTTTCAATATCCTTTTTGCCAGAGCGGTGATGGCTTTTATCCAAGCTGACACTGTAACGTAGTCGGCTTTTTGATTGTGTATTGTAACAGTGACTTCTTTTAGAAGCGCCAGTCTAGCAACGTAAATCTCAATTTTTTTTTCGGTTTTTTTCTTTTTTTTTTTTTTTGTGCCGTTTAACATCATTGGAAATAGAGGCATTTTATTATAGCTATCAACAATAAAGTGAAAAACTCATACTTTGTTCGTTATGGTTTTTTTTTTTGTTGTTGTTGTTGTTTCGTTTTAGTTTTTATGTATGTTTCATATTTGAAAGGGCGGGAAATTCTTATCACGTAACTCACGTTGAGTCACATAAACTCAAGATCCATTTTTTTTTTTCACTTTTTTTTTTATTCTTCTGAACACTGATCAGACAGAGATGGAGCATATTTTTGCCAGTTTAGGTCTTCTTAACATCACTGCAGGGCGCTTGTAAAGCCAAGTTTTCCACGCTTCAGAGCTTTCTAGTTAGATGTCGTCAGGGTAAATATATATCTTGGGCCATTGACGAACATTAAAACAGGACTGGATAATATTGAACAAAGTTGCAAAGTTAGATTAACATTTTCTCAAAACGCTTATGTCCGGAAATTCACGCAGTAACGAAAATGGCAGATTTGACGAAATTTCGTCAAATCGACTGATTGTTCATGGATTTGACGAATTTTAGTCAAATTCGTCAAAACGAAATCAGCATGGCGGATTTAACCATTTCGACGAAATTTCGTTAAATCTGCTATTTTCGTTGCTGCCTGCATCTCTGGACATATCTCATTAATTTAATCCTCAAGAAAAAGTGGACGAAATGCAAGAAAGAAATCTTGCCATTACCCCTAAGTTAATGCAGACCGTGTTAAAGATTAGTACGTGAACAAAGAAAAGTGCGTATATGTGCACGATCCTTCGCAGTAAAGCACTATTTAAGCAATAGTGAAAATCAGACCTGAAAAAAATTCAGGCCTGTACGGGATTCGAACCACTGACCTCTGCGATACTAGTGCAGCGCTCTACCAATTGAGCTAACAAGCCAACTGGGAGCAGGCCATCAAATTAATTCGACATAAACCCGTAGATGATAAATCAAACAACAAACATATGAAATACATATATATGAACTGCGGTTATGAAACGTATATGTGCACGATCCTTCGCAGTAAAGCACTATTTAAGCAATAGTGAAAATCAGACCTGAAAAAAATTCAGGCCTGTACGGGATTCGAACCACTGACCTCTGCGATACTAGTGCAGCGCTCTACCAATTGCTAAGATAGCCAAGAGAGGTCAGTGGTTCGAATCCCGTACAGGCCTGAATTTTTTTCAGGTCTGATTTTCACTATTGCTTAAATAGTGCTTTACTGCGAAGGATCGTGCACATATACGTTTCATAACCGCAGTTCATATATATGTATTTCAAAGAAAAGTGCGTTATCATGGAGAAGAATTACAAGGATTAACTGACCATTCTTTTTCCCTACAAACAAGTAGCAAATAAATCAATCTTCGATTTTGGCCTTGAAAATTAATTTCATAATTCTCGTTAACCGCAGGAGGAAGACGATGAAGAACATTTTGTGGACGTTCCGTCGGAAGATGATGAGGACGAAATTTCAACCGAGGAGCCTTCATCAGCTGGAGAAGAGCCACAAATAAGCCATGTTGACGCAGCAAAGGCCTCGAGGATTGAAACCCATGTGAGCGGGCCTCAGAAAAGTCAGACCTATAAGCCCTCCCAGAGAAATCCGCTGTACAGCGGGGCCGAAAACTCGTGTCTGTGGGAACTTAATAGGCTTTCCAGACATTATCATCCTTCAGTTTCTCATTTTGCTCATACACTTATGAAGGTAAGTTGAGGCGTGTCTGTGTTTTGTTTTCATGGGTTGAATCAATATTAGTGTTAGTCTTTCTAAATAGTCCATATTGTCTGGCTCTCTGTCGCCAATGCATAAATTGCAATAATACATAGTTCCCGTTTTTCATAGACTTGGGGCTGTCCCTAGAGTAGACTACTGACAGCCTATCACAGTAATTTTGACTTTGCCTGTTTCATAATTTTCGACTTAGTGTCGAAAGTAATCTGGAATTGCTTTGTTTTTTACTCTATAATCGTGTTTTCCTGCACTTTTCCTTTACTTTGAGCCTTATATAGGTATTTTCGCTTTATTCTTATTGGCCGGTGATTACTTTGATTTTGGTTTTATGATACAATCGAAAAGCGCTGAAAACTCTGACTATGTCTGGGTCTTTTTAGGCTTCATTGAACTGAGCATCCGTTCATGTAGAAGCATCTTAATAACATTTCTTCCAAATGTTTTTACGTGATTCCCTTTCTCTTTTTAAGGGAGACAATATCGAGTACAAAGGAGATCCTTTGCAAGATTTTACACTGATGAGGTAAAGTAACGCGGTTGAAAGATGATATTTAGGGATTAAGAGTGCCAATCTCAAAGATAAACTTTTGTCGTAGAGTTCTGCGTCTTTCCGAACTGCCAAGATGTAAGGAAAGGCCGCAGACTGCCAAATACTGCTTAGAACTTCAAGGGGGATTAAAGTGTCTAGCGACTGGTTTGGATGCGTCTTTGTCTTTCCTTTCTACGTCACCAAGCGTCAGATCTTTGTCGTAGCGAACGAACAAATAAATATCACCAACGACAACAAGAAGAGCGATAAAAACAAATCGAAAACAAACAAACAAAAAGGAAAACCCAAGTAATCATTAATTTTTCCTACTTGTGTATAGTTTAACTATCATGATTAAACATTCCAATTTTCTTGTCATGTTTTAGGTTTCTTGACAGATTTGTTTACAAAAACCCAAAGCAGAAAGAAAGAGGTATTTCTTTTCCAGTGTGATTTGAAGACATTTGCCCTCCTTAAGAATTTGAAACCTGTTTGTCTTGATTGGCTTTACTTGTATTTCTCCCCTCTCTGTTCAGATCACGGTGGTTCACTGATGCAGCCGAAAACGTCATCAAGCCGGCTGGCCGAGGAGCCTGGTAAGAGTGAACGAGAACATAATCAAGTGATTATCGATAAGAGGAAAAGTATGCTCTGAAAACATATACTTTTAAATTTACTATTGAGAAGCATACATAAAGAGTAACATTTTACTGCATTGTGAGATAAAGAAGAGTAACGTAACCGTTCAGATGTGCAAAATCCCGACCAGGAACGCCGCTATTTTGATCGAGACTCATGACCCAGCCACAAAATGCGGTCCTCACACAGCTGCACGGTCTAGACATCGAAGAATAATCGTTGTTTGAGTAGAGTGCATGAACTCGTGCTCTTCCAATTGTTTAAACAGATAGCTACAAGAGGGGATAGATAACTTACCACGTCCTAGGTAATTGGCTAGGTTGCTTGGCAATACTCAAAACTGGGGCGTCTTTAATTGTATTTTTGGTGATTATAAGCCAATTTTCGAAAGTTTGAGTTACTGTTTGGAAATTCTGATTGGAACTTCTTTAACGGAAGAATCCCAAAGTACGCCAGGAAGGAACTTTTTGTTGTTCTTGAACCAATTTTTTCAGCTCCCTTCCACAGAAAGTGCAGATCTGAGCGACACTGATTTTCACTAAAGTACTTCACACTTGTGCTCCAACAGAACCAAATGCGACTGCCCCAGTGTGAATCATAATGACTTGATTAACGTATTGTTTAATGATTTTGCACTAAACCGTCTGTTAACTTGCAGTGAATACGAAAGCGTTTCTTGCTAAAAAAGAAGAGGATATTCGAGAAGATGAACTGTTCTTTCATAGGTATTGTATAATCTATCAATTATCAATCGGTAACTAGTTTCATAGATTCCCTCTACAAATCGCTGTGATAGTTTGTTTTGTCATTTTTGTTGTTGTTGTCTTTTTTTGTTGTTATGTTTTGTTTGCTTTTCTGTTTTTGTTAAAATAACTATATTTGATAGACAAAAATCCAGTTTCAAACTGAATTTTTGTATTACAAGATACTTGGTTGTATCTACTGATTTGTTTTTGTTTTGTTTTGTTTTGTTTTGTTTTTTTTTTTGATGAAATAACTGTTTGATTAACAAAAATCCAGTTTGAAACAACTTTAGAGACTCTCTATGATGGCCAATTTACGTTATTAACGTAGTTGATAAAACCAGATGATCTTATATCATCCCTACCGACGCAGCATAACAATTTCTTTACAAACTTACCCCCCGTATGAGTTTTAGTAGATCTCTAACAAACACGCGGAATCAGTAAAATGTCTATTCAATCTCTTTTAATGATTGTCCACTGAGTAAAGGCGAATGATTTTCCTCTTGTATCTCAGGTATTTCAAGCGGAAGGCAGAAAAAGAAAGTCAACGAAAGAAGAAAGCCGGTGAATCTGATGATGAAATATCTGAAAAGGAAACAAATTTCGGTAATGTTTTTTTTTTGTTTGTTTATGGTCGAAATTTTTGTGTCCGATTTATGTTCTGTTCTCTCCCGATTTACGTTCAATTTATCTGCTCTTTCTACAGACAATGTTCCAGAAGAGCGGTCTAGTTTCGAGTATGACTTCGCGAGGTAAAGTTAGTTTGTCTCGTTTCATACATTACAGCTTGAAAAAAGTAAAGGGACAAGATAGATGGATTTAACTCACGATGCGAGTTTTACAGCTAACACACGGAGGGGCAGCACGTTCGCCTCCCCCTTACGATGAGCCTGCCCGTCAAATTTGCCTGTGGAGCGAACCTTGTGATGGTTTCGCAATTAATTTGCTAATTAATCGAAATAAATTATTATTTCGTCGGAAAAGAAACACGTTATTTTGCAAGGAAACAGTTAAAAGATGTCAAGGCGAACTGGTAGGGGGTGAACTAGCAATGGGGCGAAATCACTAGATACCCTAACATCTAACGGATACTGTTTTTGATTTATGGAGACGCTTCTGTAGGATTTTTTGAGAGAACCCTTTTTTTTTTATTTTATAAGTGATTTGAAGAGTTCTAAAACATCTACGGCAAGTAGAAACAAACAAATCGCTAGTGACGAAGAGGACGAAGGAGATGACGAAAAAAGCGAGGAAGGTGAAAGTGAAGACGAAGAACTAGAGGAAAAAGGTAAAAGTCTACCGGAAGACAATACTTAAATAATTTCATCTCATGATTAGCGGTCAGAGCAATTTTAAGAAAAATCAAAATTTGGATCGCTCAGTGTGGCCATTTTGTTGCTCCATATTTTTGCCCTGTTTTACTGTGTAATACCTTGGTATACTTGTGCGTTCTCTTGATCTTATTTGGTAAAATGGCATAGTAGTGGAATAATAATGGTCGATTAACTTCGTTCTCTCTTCTTATCGTTTGACGTTGTTTGAATCTTTTCCTCTCAGAATTTGATTATGACGGTATGGATTTTTCATCTTCTGAAGATGAGCAAGCAGGTATGTGCAAGTTCTTCCGAACAATTTATTGGCCGAGATTTCTCTGTTTAAAAAAAGGCTTGGCATAGTAACCCGATATTTCAGGTATGTAAGTCTCACACTCAAGTGCCCAATGTTTTCTCACAAGTCAGTGATGTGAATTTGATGTTGTAACAGTAGAAAATCCTATTGCTTCTTAGTTTTTCAATTCTCATAACTCATCTGCTCCATAACACATCGACAAAGTAACATGATCATCTCATACGAAAAATTTACCTAGTGAAGTAAAAAATTGTGAGCTAACGTGGTTTTTATTTCCATTTGTTTTCTTCTACTTCAGAGGAACCAGCTACTTCACAAGGCAAGAAAAGAAAATTTACGGAAAAGGATTACGAAAAGGTATAAAACGCTATGTATTTGTTCACGTCGTGATCCCTGTACGTTGTCACACAACGTTGGAGAAGACTGGCGTGAGGTGTCAGTCAGAAAACAAGGGTGCGAGGTCGGAGTTCTTTAGACTGTCAACTGTGCGTCAATTTGTTATAATTTCTTCGTCTTGTAGGCTTTGCTCGAAAACTTAAGCTCAGATGAATTTTCCGAAGACGAGGGAAGCCAGATCACGAAAAAGAAGTCCAAAAAAGGGAACACAACAGGGTGAGAAAAGATCCCCTGTTTTGAGTGAAATCTTCTCTTCATTAGAGTTGAGTTTAACGCTTGTTTTTCTTTTATTGCGTTAGGGGAGATGTTTCTTCAATGTTTGCGTCTGCTGAAGAGGTAGGCACGCACTTTTATTTCATTTACAGTTAAGTTTATATTTCCCGCCTACTCTTAAACCGGGGCGAAATTAAACAACTTAGAGGCAATTTTAACCAGAAAGTGCGAAAAGATACCATATTTGCTCAAAAGAGGAAGAAATAGAAAAAAGAGAGTTGACAGCAGAAACATTACTTAAATGGCATCGGAGGAAAATGGGCGTTGGCCTTTTAGAGCGCTTTCCAATTGAGTGTCGTAAATCCAAAACCAAAGTAATCCCAACGGCCAATCAGAAGAAAGGAAAATTCCTTTAATAGCCAACGAGAACTCAGAGGAAAAGCGCGGAAAAGTGTCAGAGGCCAAGTCATGATTGGTTTAAATTTGCATCTGATTGGTTAAGAGAGTGGCGCGAGTTTTCTGGACCAATCACAGAGCGAAGTAAAATAAATCCCATCCATTTTGGCATTCTCTGTTTTTTAATCGTAACTCTTTTTTCATATTTTTTTTTCCCAGTTCGCTCATCTGCTTGAAAATTCCAAAGCGTCAAGAGGCGGTAGCTATGATGTCAAACGACGAGGAGCCAGCGACAAGCAACTGAAATGGGAAGAGAATAAGACGGCAAATAACTGCATTAAAACCACAGGAAATCGGGGTCGTGGGGAAGGCGGAAGAAAAGGTCCGAGAAGAAAATCCAATTTTAATCCTAGGACAAAGTTTAGATCCAAAGGAAGAGGTGCGAAAAGGTCAAGATAGTACAATCTGCCCAATGATTCCTTGATTTGTTAGGGTAGAAATGCATCCGATATCAAGGCATGATATGTAAGTGCCACAAAGAAGAGTTTAGTATTGTTATCGATCAGGCACGTGGATTTCAAAAGGTAGAGCCTCTCAAAACTACCCATTAACCAAAAAGTGGATACTACTGTAAATGAGTGTAAATGACGAGGTTCTGTGTGAAGATTTGACCTGCGATTCTTAACTGATTTCCACAACAGTTATTTATAATCGCACACGCCTCTGTGAACGCCCTTTGAATTAAGAAATGTGAAATCTCATTTTTCCAGTAATGGGCTTTCTTGATAAATACAGAAAATACATTTCAAGTTGCAGAATCTAACAATTTTCTGGTCCCAAAAGTTAAGCGACAGGAAATCTGTAACCGCCTCTGTTTACCGATCTTCTTCAGATTATCTCCTCTGGTACATCAGGTACCTAGAAAAATCGATCACTTAGTCAGCTTAACTATAATGATAAAACTTGTAAGAAATAGACAACTTTTTTGAGAGATATGTTTCGGCATGCTTATGCCTTCTTCAATCAGTGAGTTACAGAACGTGATTAATTATATAACACAAGTAAATGAATAAAATATTTAGAGTATGATGTAATACAACAACTAAATATCAAACTAGTTTTCATTTCTTTTAAAACTAAAAACATGATCAGTGTCAAAGATCGTACTCCTGATGCTCTAAAATCCATGGTAGTTTATCAATTTTCTTGTGCGGGATATAATTCCCGTTATATTGGCGAAACTACTCGCCACTTCTCTACTAGGATAAAGGAGCACACGGAAAGCGATAAAAACTCGCATATTTTATAAGCATTTCAATACATCTCCTTGTAAGCAAAAATACTCCCTTTCTTGCTTTAGTATTCTGGATTCTGCTAGCAACTCTATTGATTTAAAACTCAAAGAAGCTTTTTATATAAATAAGATCAAACCTGAACTTAACAAACAATTACAGCATTATAACACTTTTCTAGCGTTTTAGTTCACACCTTTGATGTTTGGTGTCACGTTGTAATTAGTACCCGCTTTTGTATTACATCATACTGTAAATATTTTATTCATCTACTTGTCTGTTATATAATTACTCACGTTCTGTTACTCATTGATTGAAGATGGCATAAGCATGCCGAAACATGTCTCTCAAAAAAGTTGTCTATTTCTTACAATATTTATCATACTTGCTACTACTACGACCTTATGGAAATAT